ATAAATACAATAAGATGAGAAATGTTATACTTATGACTTATTTTTATTTACAATTTTTTACAACCATAATTTTAACTGTTGATTTCTGCCAATCAACGGTTATCAATTATTGTGAATTAATAATTAATTAATTAATTTAATTTACAAAAATAATAACCGTTGATGCGAAAATCAACGGTTAAGATTATGATTGTAAAAGATTGTAAACAAAAATAAGTTGTAAGTATAACCTCCCTCTAATGAGATTCAAAAGGAAAAATTTATCCCTTTATATATAATTATATTGAAATGTACATAAGCTTGAAGAAGATCGAGTATCACAAGACCGTCTGATACCAGGAGATAGTACTCGAACACTCACGTGGGTGATGAGTCCTACATATGCGATAAGACTTGTCCCATTTTTATTATACGAGCTATGGCAGATATCAACCATATTTTGCCTTTGGAATATTTTACTCCTCAAGCAACCTTTTTCCAGGACAGGTTTATTTGTTAACGAGATTGTTATATTTACAAATTTTTTGTTTACAAACTTTTATAAATTACATTACGTTCTTTCGGGAGAACACTAAGTTACACTACATATTTTCTTCCAGAGTAAATACTCATAGTGTAATTTGAAAAAAATTGTAAAAAAATTTTGTAAACGGATCCTCCCTTTGTTATGCATGCGAAATGCAAACATACGACCCCTTCTCCCAACACAACTTTATTGATTTTCAATTTTGATGTTTCTTTTTAGGGATTATTTCTCATGTTGTATGATATTTTTTTTTTATGGTTTTTTTTTTCTTTTTATATGACTCCACATAGAATTCATATAATTTTATGTCTGTATAAGAATTTTATTTCCTAAACGTGATAAACATTAATCCTTTCTTTCTATCATAAAGTTTAGTTTTTTATTTATTTCCCCGAGGATCTCCACAATCATAGTTGTGAACTATTTTTTTTACTGTAGTGGTTGTTGCTAGGTAAAGTGCACCCCGGAATGACAACGTCGTAATTCTAACTTTTTATGTAGGTAAAGTTTATCTGAAATCACCATTCATTTTTAAAGTTTTTTTATTATATAAAAAACAAAATTATTTTTTATATATAAAAATAATTTTATTTCTTATAACATTAAAAAATTTAAATCCTTCATTTTTATTGTAACCAACGTTAACATATAAATGTTATATTTATGGTTGAGTTTGAGTATATTATGGTATCATTTGATTATAAATATATATTACTTTATTTATTATTTAATACATTATATAAAATAAAATCATATTTTTTTTGGTAAGTAAATAAAATTATATTTAATCATATATAACTAATTCGACCACAGTTAAACTGATAACTTTTAATCGATGCTTTTACCAGCTTAATGACCAGTTCAATTTTAAAAGTAAAAAAAGAAAAGAAAAAGAAAGGTAAAATAATAATTTCCTCGCTCCACACCTTGATCTTTTTTGCCATTGTCATTTTATAGCTATAAAGCCAAAAAAATAAAAAATAAAAAATAAAAAATAAAAAATAAAAATGAATATTAAGTTAGAGGTTTCGCTCGAACAAGAAAACCAGAACATCCAAAAGTCAGTTTTTAATTTATTTATTTTTAATCAATTGCGTTTCGAGAGACTACTGTCTGGTATTAACGTCAATAACAATATCATCTATTCTCAAATAATGAAATTAAATTTTGATTTCGATGCAAACTTTAGTTAGAAAAAAAACATGTGCCTGCTAAATTTTATTTTGATAAGGAATACACAATTACTACTTTGCGACTTTGCCTTGTGTTGTTCACATTGCTAGCGTAAAAAATCCTGTCTTATTAACTCTATCAATGATTCTATCAACACTTTTGGCACCGTAGAACTGAAGGGGTTGTTGCTTTATTGCTAATAGAAAACATATTATAGTAACGAAGCTCGTATACTAGGAACTTACTATCATATTTATCTATGCAATATGCATGTCATTATCTTCATGGTTTCCAATCCTTTAAAAATACAAAAACAAAAATATAAATAAAGACAATGAGTATAAGACATATATAGAATGTAAAATAATAGAATCATTGACCGGAACACATAGGATATTCTTCTAGACAAATATAATCCTACAGAATCATCAACTTTGGAATCTCATTCACTGCCTGGTATCTTTCAAAGTAATCACATTACAAATTCTTTCCCAACTTGCTATTCTTACGCGAACATGAGAATAAAAATTCTTACGTCAAATCTTTTTTTTTTTTTTTTTTGGTAAAACTTATATCAAATCTTGATTATTGATTTGTTTACATATAACAGCTCACATATTTAATAAATTATATATAAATAGAGTTAATGGTCAATATTGAAAATATAATTTAGACTAGTGTAAAATGATTTAATTAACCCTATATATATATATATTTATACATATTTGGTGATATAAGATAATCTAACACTCCTACTTAGAATGATGTCATATTTTGTTCCTTTCATCCATGCCAAAACTAACTAGCAAAATTACTTAATAAAATAAATCAAAAGTCTTATATGATCGAAGCATTATATTATATATGTCTTTCAAGCTGTGTATATCTATATATACCAGCTAGCATAGGATTGGAGATATAATTGAAAGAAAAGATATGAAGATCCAAATATCTTCAAAATCTTTAATAGTTTTCTTTCTTCTTATAACAAGTTTGGTGAGTGTCCTCGCTGATACTTGCAAGCCTAGTGGCAAGATAAGGGGTAAGAAACCTCCTCAAGGACAATGCAGCCAAGATTGTTGCAAACAAGGGAAGATTTACACCACATACAAATGTTCCCCACATGTGTCTCAACGCACAAAGGCAATTCTAACACTCAATAGCTTTGAAAAGGGTGGTGGTGGAGGTGCACCATCAGAATGTGACAACAAGTTTCACTCAGACAACACCCCCGTTGTAGCATTATCAACAGGATGGTACAACAATGGAAATAGGTGCTTGAAGAAAATCACCATCTCTGCTAATGGAAGAAATGTCAAGGCCACGGTCGTTGATGAGTGTGACTCTACAAAAGGGTGTGACAAGGAACATGATTACCAACCTCCTTGTTTGAACAATGTTGTTGATGCCTCTAAAGCTGTTTGGGAGGCTTTGGAAGTGCCAAAAAGTGATTGGGGTCAATTAGACATTTTTTGGTCTGATGCTTGATAGGTAATGTTCTTGTTGCACATTAAAAATTTGTTATAATTTTAAACTATTCTTTTTCTTTCACATAGGAATTGATTATTTTCTTGTGTAGGGAAATTCCAGTATAAGACTTACGAAATTGCAAGGGTTTTTGCAAAAAGGCGATTTCCTATATTCGAACCTATAACCTTTTAGTTACAAGGAACATCCTTACTGTTGCTCCAAGACTCGCTGTTGTTTGTGTTCATGACCAAGTTATAAATTAAATGTCTTTCTTTCAAATTGTAATTGTTATAAAAAGTATGAATAAATGTTTGCTTCTTGGTTGAATTGTTTTCATTGTGGTTATATTTTTCTAGAGGGTGCAATAAGGAGGTAAATTCCCTAGCGCATCATGCTGAATTTTGTTATTTTAGTGTTTGGGTAGAGGACCCCTTGTAGTTTGATTGCTACTTTGTTAATTTCTTTTTAGGTTGAATGGCTTCTTTATTAATTTCTAACCTTCGATTTGAATAAATATGAATTTAATCTAACAAAAAGTACGCATAAATGTTGGTGTAAATTTTGAAATCCCATACTCTTAATTAAGATATTAGCATGGTTATCACTTTTTTGCTAAAATGATTATTACTTTTTTAAGAGTGACAAATTAAATGTGAACTTATTTTCGTCACAGATACATTATATTATAATATGTACTAACATTTGGATAATCTTTATTTTTTTATTTTAATTATAAAATAAAAATGAACTATAAAGTTAAAAAGAAAAACTGTATTTACAAAAGTAGAAGTTAATGAGTTATAAAAAGTAGCTATAGTTGTAAAGTAAGGAGTATGTATAATTTTTGTTTCTTTTTCATATTTATGTCAATTAAATTAATTATTTTGAAAGAAAAAAAAATTAAATTTAATATAATATAATATTATTATATACAAAAAGGTTTCTGACAACATGCAAGAGACAAGGTATTACCATATTCATTTTTATCCAAAATTAACTTTTATAACTTTATTATTTATCATATGCAAATTCTTTCCTGATTTGATATAAGAACAGAACAAATACAAAATATGAAAGAAAGGCTTTATCTGTGCTTGCTTGCTTCAGCAAATTTAGAAGCCAAAGAGTTCAGGATTTATCTGTTAATTTTATATATAACATACCCATGCCAGTAGAGCTTGTTTAACACATCTACTAGTTAGGTTTCTTTAGTTGGAAACCTAGTACTTTGTTAAAGAAAATTGAAATCTGGCAAAATTTGTAATTGTAATGTGATTCTATTTTGAGTGCCCTCATGTTAATTAGCAAATAGGAAAAGTTAGGTTAGTAGTTCTTGAAAACTGAATGGTGAAAAATTTAGAAACAATTTTTCATATAATTTTGTGTATACAGTATCCTTCTCTAAATTTTATACAAAACAAATTGAGCCGAAGATCATTTTAGCAACCCCAAAAAAGATAAGATAACATATCCAAAAACAAGTGTTGCCTCAGCAATGTTAGTTCATTTTACTCAATTGGTAAAGTTGTGTAACATGCAAGTAGAGCACAAGTTCAAATCTCACAATGTACTTAATCAGTCCCTCAACTAGTTTTATTGCAGCATCTGATTCAATCCTACTATAGGAAAGTCGTGTAAACAGGAAAACTATGTTATAGTTTTCCACACAACATGTATATATATACATTTGCATCAAAGGTCAAGACTCAATAAACAAAGAAATCATGAGATAGTTCCAAGAACTTTATTATCACTGGCAAAAAAACTTAATGCTAGATTCAAATACAGGCAGCAGAGAAATTTTCAAGAAAACACAAAATAGAGTCTCCATTTACAGCATGCTATCTGTAAGAGAAGGCAACCTAAGGAAGAAATTAAGTGGTGCTGATGGTATCTTACTCCGAAAAGTTGGGTGCCTCATTATGTAAAATCCAGCTAGAACAATAGGAAACTGGAAGGGTGTCACATACAACACAATAGCAGCCACAATGCAGAATGCCATGAACAAGGCAGTGGCGTGAGGATCGCGCCAGTTCACAAGTGCTTGGAACCTCTCACCTTGAGTAGCTAAATCTCCAACAAGACCCTGAATCCTCATAGCAACAGTTCTTAACCGATCATACCTTAAACATACTGTATCATGGCTCTTTGTGGTAGGAAAAGTGTCAAATTCTTCATCAAGTTCATCTGGTGAAAGTCCATCTGGATAAGAGATTCTAGTGCTCATATGAGGAGGGTGTCTCAGGCGAAACCTCAAATTCCACATCCCTATTGCAAACATGTATAGAAGCATGGCTGGCATAATAACTCCAGGGAAACACACAAGCATGACAAAAAGAATGTGCACCACCAATGTTGTAAGAGGATGCTTCCATATGCAAACTTCCTCCAACCATCCTCCTAATGAGAGTAGTCCTGAAATCAATGTCATCAAACGGTAGAAGTTTGCTTTGCTACGTCTCATGCTCCAAAGATGAGAGTCTGTGTCAGACATGAACTCAACTACTTCCTTTCTAAGAGGGGGTTCTGCATTACCAAAACGAGCAGCAACAACATTAACAGCCTCTTGTCGCAGCCTTTCCTGTTTCCTTATATTAAGTGGCAATTTATAGTGCATTTTAGGCAATGGAGGCTTAAAATACATGCGCATCATGTCAACCATTGAGGAACATGAGAATCTAATGGCCAAGTGAAGTTCAGCCATCTTCTTGACGCCTGAAGGGTGGAGCATCAGTAACGGATAAGAATTCTTGTAAACACGGCCAGTTTCCAGTGTTGAAATCCGGATCCGAACTTTACCAAGTTTTAAATCATCATTACCATCTGAACCACCAAGCTGCACATTATCAAACACCCCCACAGTGAGAACTGTTGCTGGATCATAAACTTCCCAAGAGTATTGCTCATTGTATTTTGGTTTTACACTGTCAGCAATGGTTCGAGTGCGAATCCATTTTTGGCCATATTTTGCCACACAGTATGTATCTGATGTCCCTTTCCCCCCTCTGGTTTTCATTGGATGAAGTCCATTAATACTTAGAATGCCAAGTTCTAAGATACCAATTGGCTCCTTCCATAGTTGCCTTGATGTGGGTCTAAGATCACTACTATAATTATGATTTGACTCATCAAAAACATGGTAACCACCTTCTAGACAGACACTGAGGTGAATTGTACTAACCGGGTCATCATCATCCTTCCTTTCATCTTCAAGGGCATACCACCTAGTACGGATAACCTTATCATCAGCACGCTTGTAAACATTGGTCAAAGGAATAACAGCAATCCCAATAGTCTCAATATGGTCGGGATCAACGCGATTTTCAACTGAAACGATTAAAGGTTCTTCCAAGGGTTCAGCAGCAATAAACATAAGCTCCTGATCCCAACGCAGGTTCATGTTCCTTGACTGAACTGGTCTTGTCTTCAAAATCTGGTTACCAAGCTGTAACTTCACATATGCATCTGAGATTTGAATTTCACAATCCTCTGATAAATACAAGTCCTGTGCCTCAATCACTCTAACCTGTAAATACCATAATCTAGGCGAATGGTAAACTTTTGATCGAATCTGAGCATAGGCAGATGAAGAGCTTATACCAAGAGAGGGTGCATCAGAATGCCAAGCATCCGGAAAAGCTTCATCAGCTTGTGTACCAAACCATACAGCAAGCATCAACTCCCCTTTTTTCTTGTCCCAACACTTGTCAATCCGATACCATTCAGGAGCCAATGGACTATTAGGTGGAATCCGTGTGGGAACTTCATGGAGATCAAACTTTACAGTTCCAACAATGTCATCTTTTATCATCGTACGCTTGTCTCTGAGCCGAACTTGAAGCTTAGTTGACTGCAGATCATCCCTTGCAAAGGCAAAAACCTGATGCCATTCAGGGTCCAGAGTTTTCTCCCAGTGAAAGGTAGCTCCTTCGAAGTTTCCAACCTTTACTTGCACATAAGGATCAATGCCTCCAATCAAAATATTTGATGGAAGATCACGAGCTTTTACAACTCGTACAAAAAGGTAGTGCATTGGTTCAACAAGGTCATAGGTGCTGGCTAGCTTATTCCCATGAATAAATCGTGTCACTCCAAGAAAAGAGCTTATCTCTTTGAGTGCACGATCCTTTAAAGGCAATGAACCTGCGTATCCTCCTCCTACAACTTTTGGAGGAGCCAGACCAGATTTCACCTCATGCATCCCAGAGTTTATAGTAGGATTTTCACCTGTTGGAGGAGATGATGGTTGTTCTTCTCCTTCTTCTTGATCTGAATTAGGAACATTATGATATTTTTGCCTAAACTGATTTCTCTTACGAGAAAACATGTTCAGGATTGAGCTTGTCAATGTTGCATCATGGGTTGAGAATTGATCTGAATCAATAGAGGGTTCGCGGAACAGGTTGTTTGGAGATCTTAGAGAAGGGTCATCAGTAACAAATACCTTCAAACCAAGCTCACCACTAACCCGGAAAGGCGAAAAAAAGAATCTCCTTTCTAGAGGGTAGTGCAAAGCAACAGCATCAGGATATGGGACAAATGAGGTTCTGGTGAGACAGACCTTACCAAGGAAGACTCTGGAACTGTTGCTTTTCTTATAGTGGTAGACAAAAGCACTAAGAGTGAGATCATGTAATAAGCTTGGATCAGTAATGTTGAAGTAAAATTTCTCATTCCAAACAGGATTCAGATCTTTATCTTTAGTTGTTGTCCGAAATTTCTGACGATCAAAGCGAAGTTCCACAAAAGGATCAGATGAGTCCTCCCCATCTTTGGCCATAAGCTCATGAGCATCCAAAACCTCCACAGCTAGCTTAATACTGCTCATTGCGAATATACCTGAAAATGAAAGAAATAAATAGAGTTCAAGATTATTATTATAGTATCTGATGTAAAATTCAATAGCCTTATATAATATATATGTATCTTCCTGCCTCTGTCCCTCTGTTAAATGATGAATGTAAATCTAATCTATTGGCACTACAAAACTTTTTATATTACCATTATCAATAAACAAAAAAATCATTGTAGTTTTTGAAATTTGTAAAACTCTCTATACTGTCAGTGGATGAAAATTAAGTCCTTGAATAGTAAGAGTTTACCCTTAATCCAGCAATTTGTTTATGGTTTTCATTAATATTCAAAGATGCATTCTAGCAATAGTATAACAATTCAGTGAAACATCCAAGTTCCAAAATCTCATTCTGTTGGCAGACAAATTTTGAAAAGGCAACACACCAGATGGAGATGTAACTGACTATAACATCACCACATTGAGCAAGCACAACCTCTCTTATAAACCTTTGAGTTCCTATCATAATATCTAAGCAAATAGTTTGGAAGTTCCCCTAACAAATAAACATGTATTTACTTAAGATATTCTCATTAATTGATTTACAAAAAAAAAAAAGGCTTGAAATTTTAAAATTAATTATTTTCTATTTTCTAATACTAAAATTGAACAAGGAGATCATTATAAAATGAATTCTTGCTAAATACATAAATAAGTGTGCATGTGAGTGTAGGTGCATAAAAAACAAAGCAACAGAGTTATAAATTTTTAATCAGTTAGTTCCTATCATAAATAAGATAAGGCAAGGTATGCTTCATGCAGATAAAGTGAAAAGAAAGAAGGAAAAAAAAAAGTGGGAGATGGGTATTATTATAGAAAGCAAGTAATTCATAAAGCTCAAAGCAAAAAACAGGAAGATTCAAAAGTTTCAATCTACCACTCCCACATTTGTCTTCTCAATGATCAAAAAGCAAGACAAGAATAAAAAGAAGCCTTGCATACTTTCTACTCTACACACAGAAAATAAAAGAATATAAAATCATAGAATAGGATAAAAAAAATAAAAAATGGGTTCCTTGTATCACAGTACAAGGATTGTGTGATGAGAATCTTCAGATACTCTGAAGAAAAGAAAAATCTGCTACTGCATAGCCAATATTCCAACCCCATTACCCGTTTTAAACAAAAAATTTAAGCTTTTAAGACTACAAAACCTCCAACAACAACAACAACAAAAATCCAGCTGCAAATTATCAAAATATTCCACACATAACAAAAAAAAAAAAAAACACATAGAAAAACAACAAAATAAGCTTGAAAGGAAGAAGAAGAAGAAGAAGATGATGATGATGATGAAACACACCTGAGATTCAAAGCTTTGAGAATTGAGACTTCACTTGAAGAGCTGAAGACTACAACAAAAAGAGATTGAACTGAGTAACAGAGAGTTACATCAAAATTAAAAAGAGAAAAAAAAGAAACATAAATAGCAGGTACAGATAGAAACACAAGGTAGCATACATACATTGACGTAAGAAGAAAGTCTGAGAATGTGGAATTCGGATTGTTCAGTAGTTGCTGTAGCACTGTGTGGTGTAACACATTTATAAGAACTGAGAACATGGTATTGCAAAGGTGGTAACTGTGGCCCCACTCCTTACATAATCATTCTCTTTCTCTCTCAGAATCTCACTTCTATTTGTCTCCACTTAAGTAACAATAATATTATAGATCCTTGTATTATTCTTTTTTATGGACAAACTTTGCATAAATTTAATTTCCTTAAGTTGAGAATTTGAGTGAATCAGGTTAATAAATATTTATTTATTACTAATTAATAAATATCAATTAATTAATTATATAATAATGTATTGAATGCACTAGAGTTATGTAAAAATCATTCTTTTCTATAATAGTTGGACCGTTTTGAAATATAGATTGAAAAATATAATTTTTAATTAAGTTGTTATGTTTCATTGTTTCAAATCTTTGTAATTTAATTTCTTATATTTTGAAATTAATATGTTAATATATTTTCTATAATAGTTCTTCATGATATCTTGGAAATAATAGAATTCTCTCCAAGGATATATGCAGTTATATCTTGATGTAACTGACAAATATTAATTATACAGACTTTTTTTAAAAATAGTTAATTAATTAATTTTAAAACCAATTCAATAATTGTAATTGTTGGAATTAATTTTTAAATTAATTATTTTTATGAATAAAAAGTTTGATTTGAAAAGATATGTGTTTTTGGTCGTTGAAAAGGTATGTCTTTTGGTGTCAAACGATATGTTGTTTTATCGACGAATATGTATCTTTTGAATCAGGATATTACGTTTCTTATAAATATATAGAGAATCAGAATTTTTGAATAAACATTTTTCCCATTATATTTGCATTTGCATTCTTTTACTCTAGTGTGATTGATCGGGCATAGATTGAGTTCGATTTGACTATTCAATGTAAAAATACCGCCACAAGAATAGAAGTAATTTGTTCTATTCTGAAAGACAGTTGTTCGCAAAATCTTGAGCACCATATAAAAGACAATATTATCTTAAGAGTACAATGTCTAACAGAGTACATTCATATATTTTTATACGGTACGCAATAACACAAAATTTATAGTTTTCATTAGATACACTTAACTTTGTGTTATTGCGTTCATAATATCGATTGTCACGTTAAAAGTTAAAAATTAAAAATTCATGTACTAAAACAAATTAAGAATAATTACACAACATATATAATACCCAAGTAATGGAAAATGGACCCTTCAGTTAAAAACCAAAAAAAAAAAAAAAGAACATGTTAACATAAAAACATGGGATTAAAAAAAATGAGAATTAAAGTAGATAATTAGTGACTGGTTTTACCTTTCATATATTAAGTATTTACTCATTAAATAACGAAATAAAACTATTAACCACTTAACAGAACTGTTGCAATACTTTTTATATATAGTTATAATTAAAGTATAATTAGTATATTTAATTATCTTAGCATTTAAAACATATGTGTATTTTATAATTATTAATTACATTAATTTTGTTCTGCAAAACTGCCGGTGAATTAACGTGTAATAACGAAGCTGCCGTTACAGTGGGTTTTTTGGTAACAGTTGATACTGTTGCCCTCAATTTTGGTTTATTCCATATAAGCCACAAAGTTTCTTTTAATAGAAAATGTGGATAATAATTGTTTTACGTTAAGTCATTAATTGAAGGGTTTTATGAATGGTATGTTGGAGGAAATTTTTTGTGTTGTGTCACTCTGATAAAAAGGATGGCCTTATCTTTCTTTCTTTTTGAGTAGGATTCATATTTTTTTATTAGAATGACATGGCATAAAAAAACTTCCTACAGCATAATATTCATAAAACCCTTAATTTAATAGAAAAACATTATGAAAAGTGAGTTGAAAGTGTAAAATTACCAATCATCGAGTATCAACATTATTTAATTTAATTTGATTCTCCAAAAAAATAACATTATTTAATTTGTGAATAATGATTTTGGTAAAAAAAAAAATTATATTTATCTTTATACCCGATCCGTTCATTTAAAAAAATAGTATGATAAAAAAATGTGTGTTATTTCGTTTTCTTAACCATTGTTAAGTTTCTTTATCATTTGAGAAAGTGTTTTAAAAATCCGCGGTCGGGTGCATGTGTAAAATATATACATTTTATGAGTAATGAGATTAAAACTTGAGCCCTTGTTTGAGATTAAAAAACTTACCAGGGATCATTTTTACTTGTTGAACATGATATTCGTAATTTAATATTTATTATATATTATTTTAAAATTTAGTTGAACCTAGTTAAATCACTAACCCATTAACTCAATATCTCAACCAATTAATTATCGGCCCGAGTTTTAAAAACACTTTGAGACAATTTTATATTGTTAATGTCAACCTGTTGTTATTATTTTACATCTATTTAAATTGATATTCCCTCTATCATGATTTTAGAATTAACCTCAGTTCTTCTATTCACTCATTTTCAAGTTTAATATGGTTTCATTACTTTTACGCAGTGTTATTAAATTCAGACTCGTCATCCTCAGCTGAGATACTAGATTAATGGATTATTAGTTCAATAATGGGTAAGGAATGAGTCACTGGTTGAACTAATTAAATTAAATATAAAATTATGGGTAATACTTCTCTCATTTAACATGAGAGAAGTTTTTTTTCTACACTAACAAGAAATGTGAAGCTCACAAGTTAAAGAAAAATAAAAAAGAAAATAAATTATAGACACGTCTTTTTATGTCTCACTGACATGAGATAATTATCTCCTACAGTTGGAGAAAACTATTTCTCTAAAATTATTTCTCATGTTTTAGATTCCAATCTCATCCCTAATAGTTTACACAATATATTATAGAACTGGTTTAATTAAAAAATTGGTGTTGATTTGATACTGATTGAACCCGATTCAGGAATGGTTCACCAATTTTATACAGGATTGAAGTACATGACTGATATCATGGTATTATTTTGGCGGAATTTGCATGAGTTTCGTGTTTGTTTTCAATATTTAATTTTCAAAAAAAAAAAAAAAAAAAAAACATCGGTAAGGTTTATAAGAACATGGTTCTTTACTCACGTAACAATCTAAATTTACAAGATGTAACTAAAAACTCTTTTCTAACCAAAAATGCTTTTTCTAATCGAGAATTTTCAATTACATTCTGATATGCTCAATTTGTTACACTATGACTAAGTAACATTACGACATGATGCATGAAGAGTAGTATTGCAGACATATTTTGCTTGAGAAAGAGTGTGTGTATGAGTGTGCATGAACTATATCTATATATAAACTACAACATGGGCCTTTATTGTTTTAATTCATTGCTCTTGTCTTCACTTTCCCAATTAGATTCTCCTTTTCTTGTAGAAAATCTTGGAGAGTTTCAGTTGTATAAGGAGGAGGCATTGTACATGGAGGTGTATCACTTGGTGAATTCACCATTGACTCAATCATATAATGCTTCCTTACACCACGCAAGGAACATGTCATGCTTTCAGAACAAATCTCAATGGCTCCTTTTGGTATGGTTGGTTTGAATCTCAAAAGACTTGCATACCTACTTAATAGATGAAACATATAATCATACACAAACTTCATCTTTAAATTCTCTATGATATAGTCAGTTCCTCCTTTGCCAATTGCCTGTGCCTGCAATAAAAAATTTAGAATTCTGTTATCTTAAAATTTAGTTGGATCCAATGTAGTTTAGTCCAATTAAACTCTGTATGTAGAAACAAAGTGCAGGTTTCATTTAACTAGCATGTTTTTTTCTCAACATAAGCTTATAGAAATCTTTTAGAGGTTAAAAAAAAATCACTTCCCATTAAACCTTGACGATGGTAAGATGAGGACAATTCTTATACGCAATCTTACCCTTATATATTTGTAAATAAATTGTTTCCTAAATTCGAACCAGTGACTTTTTAGTCACAAAAGAGTAGTATTACCGATACTCCAGGTCCACCCTCTAGAAATCTTTTTAGAGGTTGATAGAGGAAAAAGATTATTACATTCTCAAGGTGAGCATTGCCCCAATCCACTGCAAACTTTATCTCTTCACACATATTTTTGGTACTGATAGGCCAGTAGTGCTTCAAAGGTACCATGTTTCTTGTGAAGAAGTCATAATACCTTGGCTCTATGAACATAGTCATGGAGTCACATGCTATTATGTATTTTTCACTCACAGACCATGTGGCTCCTTCTGCATAAATCTTGTACCTTAATATGAAACATAACATAGACAAATTTCATAGTTTAGTAGATAAAATCTCAAAAGCAAACCCCCACCATGGAAAAATTCAAAATAAGAAACAAAGTGCTAGAAAACATTTACATACCTGTAGGTACATTGATTTTCTAGTTTTGTGTTCTGGAAATTTTTGGCTTTCTCCTGTTGCCATTGCTGAAAAGGGTAAAAAAAGAAAAGAAAGAAATATTATAATTTCATGTTGAAACAATTAAGGCAATTACTGGAGACAAAAGCCAGGCTTAAAATTATGTAATTACTATGTCATATATTCTGGCATTCCAATCATGTTCTTCTGAGGCATTGCACTTGACAAGTTCTTTCCTAATATAAGATACTGTTGGGTTACCCTTCCAAAAAGCATAGGGTATCCTATCTTTCCATTTGACTATCTTGTTGCCTTCTTGTATATTCTGTAATGTTGTTTCCCATGGTCTTATATTGAGCTCAGCCCTATTAAGAAACAAAAATACAAAAAGTATATAAGTTCTGTTTGCCCTTTTGTTTCACTTTAATCAAAGTAAAAAATAAAATAGAATAATGAAATAACCAAACCACCTCCCTGTTAAACCCGACTAGCGAGAGTGGGGTGAAGGTAATCCTTGTGCGTAACCTTACCCTTGCATAATTGCAAAGAGGCTGTTCGACTAGCGAGAGTGGGGTGGAGGTACGTAGCTTTACCTTTGCATAATTGCAAAGAAGCTATTTCCTGGATTCGAACTCATGACCTTTTGGTCATGAAAGAACAGTTTTACCACTGTCCCGGTTCGCCCCCTTTAAAATAATGAAATAACATTGTGTCTTAATTCAAACTTGGACATATGAGAAGATTAAAATAAAGGTTACCACCCTTTAAGCAGGTATGCTTAGTAGAAGAAATAGCAGAGGAATGAAAAAGGGCCGACCCAGTTCAAATACCCACTTCGTGAGTGTCTGGGGAAGGGAATACTCTAGGCAGTCTTTCCCCTGCTTTTTGCAGAGAGGCTGATTCGAACCCGCGACCTGACACACCACGACAAGCAAGCTTACCGCTGAGCCAAGCCGGCCCTTCTTGCAGAGAGGAATGAAAAAGGGAATGATGAAAATCAAATGATGTAGCAAAATATGAACACATTGTTGATTTTCACTTCCCTCATATGTTCCTCCTATCTTTGCTACTACCATGCACAATAATAATCTTCATTGTTTCTAATTGGACAATTAGAGCTTTTTTGTTAATGATGCATTTATTTAATTCCAAAGGGAATAGAAGCTTTACCAACCCCAGAAGGTCCAATCAGGGAAGACAATGTCATATGAATTTTCATCACCACAGTAATGGAACACAGGAGGAATTGACATAGCTTCTGGTCCTTGGAAAATTCTTTTGTCAACCACAGTCTTATCACCACACTGAAACATTAGCTCCAAATCTGGTATCTCTCCAGGGTATAACCTTAGAAGCTGCAAAATTCCCCATATTGTGAACACATCCCTTGTCTGAAATGATTTTGCATACTTTTCTACATAAGCTTTTCCATTCACAACCACAAGCTTAAAATGTGAAATATTTTTGCCTCTTTTCAACATATCCCTTGTGATTCCTGTTCTCTCCCATGGTTTAAGATCTTCATGGATCCATCTAAAGTACTCTGGACATGAGGTAGCTGATGAATCATCATTAGGCTCAAATTTTGTTGGATAGTATGATGAACAGGTTGGTCTTGAGTTTCCATTGCTGCAGTTCAAAGCGAATTGAGGTTGTTGCTTATTGAAGACTATGATTGTCTTGAGAAGACTAGAGTTTGTTATTTTGGACTGAAAACACAAAAAAGTAAACACAAGATTATATATTGTTTTTAACATAATTTTTTTTTTAAAATTATCCAAATAATTCACTTTTAAACTTTTGTAAGAGATGTACGAGATTAAAATCAGTACAACTATTATACAATCACTGCATACAATTGTCTCACATAAACATTAACAAACAAAAAGGATGGTGACGTGTGATACACGCCGCAACGGTATCATATAAATAATGTTAAGCATACGAGGAGCGCGCGGCAATGCATATATATTATTATTAATATTACACGCATAACATGGCTTGGAGTAAAAAGAAATGAACTATGTCAACGGGGCCACGTATAATATACTTAAAAAAAAAGATATTTGTACTAAAAAAAAAAATATACTTATATATATATATATATATATATATGTATAAAAGAGAAAAGAAATGAACTATGTTTTGGTATTTTTGTTTATTTATTTTAACAAAAATTATTTATTAATTCTCCTAACACCCAAAACGACATAGTTTTGAAGTGACATAACATAATTTTATGTCATGGGATATGACAAATAATAAACTATATATATATATATATATATATATATATATATATATATATATATATGTTTAGTAATTTTTATACAGTGGTGAGGTTCGAACATATGATCTCATGTAAACTATCCAAATCCTTCACCACTAGACCAATCCTAATGGCTTAAATTAAGTTTATTTTTAAATGTATAAATAAAAGTGAAAAAAATATAAGTTATATATTAGATTGAGAATATTATATTATGTTTTATTGCAAAATTACTTTTGAGATGAAAATTTATAAACATAAATCATTTTTTTTTTATATCCTAAACATAAATCTTTTAATTTTAACTCACTTTTGACTAAATTTGATTTTTGTAAAATCAAAATTATGTTAAGAAACTCACCCAAATGCATACTTTATAATATGAAATAGAGAATTCATCTTTGAGGAGGATAGCATCCAGTGGAATTTCAAGATGAAATTTACTCTTATGATGAATTCTTAGAAGCTATAAATAATTACTACAGCTAAGAATAATAGTATTTTGAATTTAAGGTTATAAACATCATCAATCAAAAACAAAGAGGCAAAAACTGTTACATATATCCTTATTTGAAATTACAAAGAGAGACAGAAAGATGGAAGATATGAATCAAATGAGACAGAGACAGAGAGAGAAAAGCATCCAAGTTAGAACAAGCAATATCTTGAAGAAATACACACACAGCCAATGATAGATACATGTAATGCATATGAGAGACTTACAAGGCCAGTTTCCAGGTCCAGGATGAAGGTGCTTGCAACAAATATAATAAGGATGATGATAGAGAAGAAAATCCATCTCGTCATTATGCTAAAAGATTCATAGCCTCCATGAATAAAAATTGCGAGAGGTTAGCCTAAGAATTCTACAAGCTGTTGTTGACTATTAATAACTATGCACCTTTATAGAGGAGACAATGCTGTGCCAATACTCTTCTTTTTTTTATTGGCTTTTCCATTGAAAACTAAATTTAAGTGGAACTAAATATAGAATCTAACTTTATCTTCTTATTATCTTAACGCAAAAGGTTGAAAATATTATTATTTATTTTAAGAATTGTAATGCATTATTTATGCTGATGAGGTTAAGTTATATTAAATGGGAGAGGTTATAGTTACTACCTCTTTTTCTTACTACCTCTCACTACTCAATCTTAACTGTTGATTTCCGTCAATCTAACGGTTATAATTTATTAAAAATTAATAATTAATTAATAAGTATGACCTAGTAAATTATAACCATTAGATTGACGAAAATCAACCGTTAAAATTTAGCAATAAGAGATAATAAGAAAAAGAGATAGTAACTATAACATTTCTCATATTAAATATGAAAAATGCTTATTCTAGCACAACCACCCTCCTGAGTCTCAGTAAATTATGCATAATTTTTAATTGATTTGCTAGGATGCATTGTATTTTCGTTTTTCTTTTTTTCTTTGGAGTTGTTTCTTTAATCTTAGAAAGATATGATGATTAAAACAGTGATATATTGTTAGTGAGTTGTAGAGGTATAACTATAGTAAGCTGTAAATGTTAGTGAAATGTATCAACCTTTAAAATTGATTTGATTACTGTCTTAGTATTTTTTTTACCTTGCAATTAATAAAAAATTCTGAATTCTAAATAAAATAGAAAAAGTATAGTTGAAGATAAAAACTTAGAAATAGATGATAATCGGTGATGTACCAAAAAAGAAAAGAAAAGAAAAAAAAAATGATAATTGGTGTTTTTTTTTTACCTTGGTCAGATTAGATAGGTTTTGGTTGACTGAAAATTTGGTCAGAAACTAAACTAAACTAATCAAATTTGAAACAGTCATAGTCAATCTTGGGGTGAAAAAAGAAACAAACAAGTAAAAGTGGACTCATTTCTTTGCTTTTTCTTTCTTTCTATATTTCTTTGGGTTAAGTTAGTTTCATGTAACATAAGATAGAGAGTTTCTCCTACTGACCCTTCTATATCCGTACTTGCCTTTTTTTCTTCTTTTTAAAAATCAACGGAGCTCACACATGTTGAGTCTATCACATAAGATATCTTATCTCCTACAACATAAGAATAATAATTCCCTATTTCTTTTGTTTCAAGCCCAATGTTAACTAAAACCTAGTCTTGGAGCACAAATCCGAAAGCCTTAGGTCCTTAACTACCGAGGAAGATTCTAAATGCACTTACAGCTATTGTCTAAAAAAAAAAAAAAAAAAAGTGTACTTAACCCAAGAGTGGATTGTCTAGTGGCATCCCAACTAGATTTCAATATTTGATATGTTCAAACGACGGTGAGTTGGATTATTGATAATCGCAATTCTTAAAAAGAGTGGAGAGGTTCAAATTCAAAACCCGATAGTGATGCCTCATTAGAATTTGGAACACAGGTTGGTAATTAAATAAAAAAAAAAAGGTGCACTTACGACTATTTACATTATGCAGTATGCACTTTACTAGCAAATGGCAATCTCCTACATCTTATTATTTAACAATTCAAATTCAACGGCATGCCTGATGCCTCATGCCCTGACATAATGCCAACCTATCATTTTCTTTTTGTATTGAAAACTCTGGATGCTGGCATGCTGCTATTCACGCGTAGAGTTTTCTTAAGAAAGGAGGAGAGAAAATTATCTATGAAGCAAACTATTTTTTTTTTAGTAGACTGAAGCAAACTATTTTTGATAAACTGTTATTCCTCCGTGAAAGCATAAGTTAAGGATTTGGATTTCTATTATTTAAAATGTTAATATAATAAAAAGAGAAAATGAAACCAAAATATGATAGCAATAATTTTTTTTAAAAATGACCCAAATATAAACTTTCAATTTCATGTCACAAACAGAAAACTTTATTCATGATATTTGGCTCTATAAATAAGATTTTAATCATTATACAGTCACAAGAAACTTAAGTATTTCATAAACAAATATAATACCATATCACTAGTCGTAGTATATCATCATATAATGAGAAAAATAATGTAAAGAGATCTCAATTTCTTTCAAACAAGTAATTCAGTGCATCAACTTTGAAATAAATCAAGTTGACAATAATTTGTGCATTTAAGCTTGGGGATGCCCATCATCACAATATGTTTATGCCGCTTGCACACTATAGCCTTTAACTATTTCAAGAATTTAGATATGTACTTAATTACTATTGAAATCATAATAATATACACATCAATGAAGACCAATTTTTTTTTAATCCAAAAGCAATTGCGTGTGTTGACTTTAATCTCACATTTTTTTTATTGGTTAATATCTTATATTCTGAAATGTCACGATCGCCAACAAAAAAAAAAACATAGTTTCAGACCAAAAGATTCAATCATTCAAATCAACAACGATAAGAAAGAAAGAGATAAACAAAATATGCATGCATATATAAGTAGGGTAAATCATTTCTGCAGTCAATTTTTCTGCCTCAGACACAAAATTCAAAAAGAGAGAAATAAGAGAGAGAAAATGAATTTTGTGTCTGAAACAGAAAAAAATTCCAGTCTCAACTGCAGAAATGATTTACCCTTTTGGTGAATCATTTCTGCAGCTGAGGCGAATTTTTTTCTTCCTCCCTAGCTAGAAAGCAAGAGAATCAAAAGCAAAAACAAGGGATAACTTAAACACATATATACATAGAAATTAAGAAGACGATTAAGAGAGAAATAACTAACGAGGTCAATCCAGTCGACGATGAAAATGCTTGAAGCAAACAAAAAGAGGAAGATGAGGGAGAATAAGCCGGAGGTTGAGACCCATCTTTTGGCTTTACTACATGACTGGGGACAGCCTTTACTCTGGGCCATGATTAATGGAGTTCTTCCACCCCACCTTGTGCTGTTTATTTGTATAAGACTGCCTAAATTATCCAACTAGCTACCACCAAAATTGGATCTTGATCAATTTTTTTAATTTGATCAATGCTCAAAGCTTGCTTATCAACGGAATGTACAACATGAAATAGTTGTTGGGGGGATATATAATATAAAATAGTTTAAGCATGTGTAATGAATGATATGTGTTGGCAACAAGTAGCTAATCTTCTTCCCAAAAATACAAAAATACCGCACGCAGCAGCATTTTATGAGCGAGGATATGATTGAAGGGGAGATTACGTTAGGAAATTATTGGCATTTATTTAGATTGATATCAATCATAATTATTATTAGTTATGTGTATATAATACTCAAATTAGTCGTTTCCTTATTTTATGATCTCGAATTTAGTATAAGAGTAAAGTCCATTTTGAGTCTCTAACAAAAAAAATATGGTACTCACTTTCGTTCCTTACAAAAAAAAAATCAATTTGTGGTTCTTCTACAATTTCAGTTCTTTGAAAATTGTGGTCTCTTAGAAATTCAATGAAGACTCAATTTAATCCATAAAAAATGACTAATATGGATTTTTTTTTTTTTATAAAGAACGAAAGTTGGGATCGTATTTATTGTTAGGAACTCAAAAGACGGTTTACTCTTAGTATAAATAAGGATGATTGTTTTTCTTTTTGTATCATGTCATATCAATCACATCAATTTATAATATTTTGCTTTCTATTGCTCATTTCCTTCCTCCCTCTGAAAGCATTTTCTGTATACTCGGTGTACCTACGACTTCCATTAAAAAATTGACATTTGCATTAAAAAAAATTCTCTCCTTTTTGTACACACATAATAAAAAAATGCCCCAATTTTGATTGGCGCATCGCACCGAGTTAGTGGTGTGATGAGAATATCATAAAGGTGGACTGAGTACAAAGGGAGCATACTAATGTGAGGTTTCATTAGTCATAGACCTAATATGTTTCGGGTCAAAATATGATGTCAAAATCACTTATTATGATTAGTGTAACTTAGTTTTTTGATAATAATTCTCTCGTACCATGGACTCCCATAACCCACCTAACAGCTTAATCTTTTGAGAGAGTTAGTTGCGAGACATGGTACCAAAACCTTAATGATCGAGCTAGTGGTCCAGAGTCAAACCTTGTCGCCCCTCTTTTTTCTAGTAAATATTTAATTGTGAAATTTCTTAGCATATATAGGTGGGGGCATATGCATTGTCCATCATTCAATCTCCATCAAGAAAGCACTGACATGCTTTTTGAAGAAAAAAAATTGCATGTCGGAAACCGATACGTTCTGACTTGCGGTCAACATTTTAGGGCATGTTGTGAACGCTCCAACACGTGTTTCTAACACGCGGTCAACTTTTTTCGACATGCAATCAACGCTCTGACACGTTTTTTTTTAGGTCTAAATTTTATTTTATTTTATTTTATTAACTAAAAATGAAATTTTAATTTATAAGTCAATTTTTTTTCTATTATGGAATTTGACATAAAAAATTAACAGGGTATGACAAATTACTTTTGCTTTATATTTATGTTATGAAATTTCAATATTTGATTGATTATATAATTTATTATAGACTGTTATATGTACTAAATATAAGTTATATTATATATTTTAAAAATATTATTTAATATCAAAATGTGTCCTAACGTGTCAAAATATGGCATTTTTTAGAATTAATGTATCAGTGTGTCGTGTCTCGTGTCCTGTGTCGGTGTCAGTGAAACATAGATCTCAATAGGCTCTTGTATAAGGGGGTCTATTATAAATAAATTAAATATAAAATCATACATCAACTTTTACACAACAACTTAAGTTAATGTGATAATTGGTTGTTTGGCATTGTATCATAACAATATCATCCTCCATGACATGTTTTTTATTGTAACTCAAGTTTGAGTTCTGAATATAAAGTTGTGTTAAAAATTTAGTAAAGGAAATTTTGTCGCCTTTGTGATTTTGTTCGGCTTGATTGAATCAATTAATTAATCAATAAAACAGGGAAGAAATTAAAAAATAAAAAATATATGTAACTTGGTAATGTAAAATTATGAAGGGAAAAACATCGACTTGTTGAGCAATGAACTTATAACTCGATTGCCTCCCAGCTCCCACTTAAGTTTTTTATAATTTTGATGTTTGTTCATCTAATATACTACTAACAAATGTTTTTATTAGACAAAGTGTGGTAAACAAGCTTATTTTTCCTGAAAGGATAAAGTTCAACCATTTAAGTGGGTTATATGGATGTCATGTTACTCCACCAAAAATCAAATTCCTGCAGATACATCGGTTTGTGTGTGTGGCTTTTTTTCCTAAATATGTGAGGTTCATATCTTGATTTGTGTCTATAACATAACCTAATGAGTTTTTTTTTTTCTGTAACATGATATTTATAATCCTCATCGTTTATATTCATACTCAAAATGATTAGTGATACGTTAAAAAAAAAATACTTGGTACTCAGTAGCAATTTGCGCACGTAATAAATTATAATAATAAATAGGAACCCAAACGCTGCCAAACCAAAGGAACGAGACTAAATTATAAAAAGAAAAAAAATCAAATAATAATAGCTCAGTTGGTATGTGAAAGCTGACGATGAGAGTATTTATTCGATCATCCTCATTATCATCTTTAAAAGAAATTTAAAGTATTAATCCTGAGTCCGTCTCGAATAAAATTGTCTCTCATAAAAGATAATGTGATTTATTCAAAAAAAAAAAAGGAATGAGACAAAAAAATCTCCGGGGATTTACAAGAAAGATCATTCCCCTTTAATGTTATAAGAACTTTTAGATTTGAATATTATTTATATTTTTTATTATATAATTAGTTATCGTCCCTTTCAAAACTTATAAAATCTTTTTGTTGCAAACATCATTTCTATTATTTTCCTTCATTTAAATAACTAAGGTAAAATACTTGTACATCCTGTTCTATGAGAAGATAAAATAATTATATCATTGTTTGCTTTGTATTGTCTTATTTATATTTTTTTTATACAAATATTGTCTTATTTATAACTATTAGATTTGATTTATATTCGAAATATAATATATGAAAATTGATTATACATGTTGTATAACTGGCTAGGCACTCTTACAACGCAAGAAACTTAAACTTGATATATGTCAGATCCATCTTAGTGCAATGAAACAGGGGACTCTTAACGTGAAGTCAATTTTCTTTTTCTTAGTTTTTTCCTTGTTAATATTATTTTATACTGGGTCAGCCCAAACAGAATGAAAAGCCCAAGATTCGAGGCTAATCATGGGTTGACTCATCACATCTTATGAATTTCGTGGCTTTGCTTTAAGGAGAAACAAATTACTAAGCACATTACCTGCAAGAACATGCAACAATTATTATTATTTTCTTAAAAAGTCCATGAGATGTCTTTAACATCTTTTTAAGGAAAGGTACTTACATAGAACACAATTTACTAAGCAAGCCACATTTTATGGTTTCTTCACAATAACTAGTTCTCAATTCTCAACGCAAAGCAACCCAGTGTGCAAGTTGGAAAAAGGAGAAGCATTAGAATCCACAAACACGATACCAATTTTCTTGTTTGCTTGCCGAGAAAGTTAAGAAAAAATTAAAATATAAATGTTTAAAGGTGATATAGACCCTTCTCGGGGTTCAAACCCTGCCTCAAGCAAATTCTTGGAAAATCTTTCGAGGCCAGAGGATGTGCCTCCCTCCTCGATTGGGGGATTAGTCTCATCCTTCCTCTGGTAGCGAAGCTCAATGCACCCGCTGTTCTAATGAGGAGCTAGTCTACTTGGCTGTACCTCGAGGGCAAGGTGACCGGAGGAGGTTGAATGTGAATACCTCAAGGTTATACCAAAAAAAAAAAAGTGATATAGACCCATCCCATGTGAGATTACAGGCCCAAATGGTGAAAGGCCTGTAAGGCCCAAAGACTATTGCTTAATGAGGAAGGAAATGCGGTCATCTCACATATTTTGTCAATCTAGCAAACTCTTGACACACAATATAATCTAATCAGTCAATTGTGGCCACACAACATCAATTGCTCATTACACTATTACTTCCCCCATGACCATTGCCAAAAGTCACTTTGCATTGTAAGGTTATATGGTAGATTGCATTGCATTTGCTAAGTAAATATCTTTTTCAAATTGCATAATCAATAACATTTTGTATACTTGAAATAAATTTGAAAAACACATGAAAAAGATCATTGACATGTTTTATGTAACACCTCGTGTTAACTCGGTTTGTTAACATGTCATCGTATTAAGCCATGCTTAATTTAAAAATGGGGAATATCTTTTTCTTTTCAATTATGACGTCATTATACTTAGCCAAGTTGATTACTTAATCATTTTCATAAAACATCGCCTATATGAATATTGCAAAAGACAGCTAACTGAAATACCTCATTAATTAATATCATAAATATGTCTCTAGTCACGGAACTACAACACGTAGACCGGACAACCTGATAGTTTATACAACACAGATAAACTTAAACAAGACGGAAGTCAAAGTGGCATGGACAAACCCCATACTCACCAAATAAGGCACAAGCCCAACAACAGTCTCAACTCACTAATCATAAATGACAGAAAACATAAACAGCAACCAAGTCCACATCATGTCAGCATACAGCATAATAACATGATAACAGCATAATCTAACTCAGCTCCGGCCTCCTGTCGCCCGAGGTCTCAACCCCGAGTTACCTGAACCTAAAATAAGCGTCCCCAAATGTGGGGTGAGATCTCTAAACAAGAAATCTCAGTAAGACAAGGGGTCCTCAACGATATTTCACCCCAAGCTCACTTACATGTGCAATATAAGTTCAAAAGGCAGTTTAACAATATAAGTTCTCAAAATAGTGCAATGCAGCATATAATCATGTCATGTGTGTTATAATTATTCTACTGATCAGAGAAGTGTAGGAATCCATCTAAACCCACACGGTACTAGCCATTGCTGCACCCACCCACAGGACCACCTCTTGGCCTCATGTAGGCGTAACACCACATACATATCATAAGCAATTGCACTTAACAACTCATTAGCATTTCCATAAAACAGGTACATGAAAACACATCATGCATACAACAATCCCCCTATGGGAAATAGTGGAACCAACAATGGCTAAACCGAGGACACAAAAGCTTACCTTGCAAGCTAACAATCCAAGCGAAGATTCCAACCAATGCTCAAAGTCCAAACACAGCAGAATCACAATCTGATTTGGAACATAGCTCATAAGCATAAACATAAAGACAACGTTTCTCTTTTACGTTTTACGTCTTAAGGCTTCTCACAAAGCCATAAGCCCTTAATCCCTTGATTCTGACTTACTTAATCATTACAGAAGTTCAACTTCCTCTAGGGTCCACAAGCCCATAGATCAGTTCTGTATGAACAATAAGTTACTGTTCTTCGAAAACCCAGAATATCCGGATATGTGTCGGGGGCATATCTGGATATCAATATCCGGATATCACAGAACCCCATATCCGGATATCAATATCCGAATTTTTCGCGACAGAATGCAGTTCTTGCATTTCACAAGATATCACTCCCAAGGTTGGGTTTTTAACCCATTCCAACGTTAAAGCATGCATTTTTATCCTCTTTTAAGTTCATATATCAGTTGGTTACTTATTTAACTCATTAAACATAGCAAGACTCCACTTTTACCCATTAAAACACATGATCAAAGGTGGTAACACTTACCCAAGCTTAAAACAGAGCAAGAAGGTGCTCTTGGAGCTCTCACTTCAGCTCCTACAATCTGACTAGCAAGGGAAACGAAAATGCCAACCAAGCTTGGTCCTTTCTTCACAAAGAAAGCTTCTTGAAGCTCCACAAGCCAAGAAGATGACCCCCACAACCCAAACTCAAACACTCAGCCCCCTCACACCCACAAGACAACAACCAAAACTTAGCAATGGTGTACTCTACCCACTCACAATGATAGCTCACACACTCACAAGAGGTTTTGATGAAGAGAGTAGAAGGAAAGGTGACAACTTGTCCTCCAAATGGTGAAGAGGAGCCATGAAACAGTGGAGGCTGCCCAGCACACACAAAACTCACGCATAAAGGCTGGAGGATCAGCCTAGGGTTGTGTGTAAGTGGCTATTTATAGCCGATTTAAAGTTAATCACACAGTATTAGGACTAATAGTTACGCTTATCATTTTAATCCAAAACTTTGGAATCTGAACCTACTCATTTTTTTTAAGATTTTTCATATATTTTATTTTTCGCAGCACCTTTTCGGTACGCGCTTTTCCATAGCCAGTATCAGTTTTGGCACCAGTTCTCATTATTTTGACTTGAAACTTGAAATCACATTCCTATATATTATTCCAGTAATATATAATCACTTTTCATAATTTTTCGGAATACTTCCTCGGTATGCATTTATACCGAGTAGCAGAACCGGTATCTGCACTTTGCGTTAGAAAAACGACTTTCAACATTATTACTCACTTACTATGATTATTTAAGCCTCTTAATAATTATTAGGGTCTATTATGGAATTATTTTCTAATCTCACATAACTAATTAATTAATTTCCTTAATTAACGGTGCGGGTCCAAAACAACTTCAATTTTGGCTCGATATAAATAATTTATTTACATTAATTTCAGAAAAAATAAACTCAAATTTTATTCTCAATTTTGACAGTTAATTCTATTTATATTTAACATTTTGGATTTTCTATATATAAAGTTATTTTTTTCGGATACTAAATAAATAAGTCATTAAATACAAACAAATCAATTGTGAAAATTTGATGAATACTTGTTAAATTAATAATAACCTTCTCCGTTATATATGTTTCGAAGGATATTAGTTGAAAAAGATGATACTTTAGGGGTCAAAATATAATTACTGATAAAACTATTTCATAAGCACAATTTTGTAAAGCCGAACGAAGTGCAACAGCAACTTCTTCTCTCTCTCTCTGTCTCTCTGAACGACGATGGCTAGCGGTGGTCTGAAGAGAATGGTGGGTGCAGCAATTGCTCAAGGAGTGGCCGATGCACGAGCCAGGATATTCGGTCATCAATTGAACCCTACTGGCAAGAAATCTGCGCACAAGGTTCTCCGCATGAAGCTCTTTGGTGAGAAAGTTGCTCAATGGTACCCCTATGACATCAACAAAGATGACCCTCTTCTCATGGCCCAAAAAGAACAAGAGTACTCTCTTTCTATCTCTCACTCTCACTCTTCCCAATTTGCTTTAGTACACTACACGCCCTCACAGGCCAATGCCCACTACGTGTTTGTGTTTATGTCTCTGTGACGTTGTTATTATATTATTTTATTTTTTATTGAGTTTACTGTGTCTTTTACCGTGTGCAAGTTTGTGGGGTTTCCTTATTTTGATGGATGAATGGAATGATATCATAAAGTTTTTTTTTTTTTTTTGTTCTGTGGTGGGGTTTGGTAATTGAGTGCTTCATTTAATCAAGAAAATATGTGCAACACGAAACCCCATTTGCACAAATTTAGTCTTCGTGAACAAGCTATAGCAATTGGGAAGTTGAGTTCAGTGGTGTGGTGTGGAGAGCAATGTTGGTTGTTCTTTTATGCAATATGTTAACAGTTCTTCGACTGTTCAGCATTAAAATGAACTTCTCAATATATTGAAAATAACGTGTTTTTATTAGTAAAATATTTTCTTTTTGGGATTATTTTAATCTGAGGGTAAAATTTTGTCTTCTGAATATTAGTCCCCATTTTCTAGATATGTCTCTTATCCTTGTCCACTATATATTCCTTTGAGCTTACTTCATTGCTTTAAAAATGAAAAGGTAGAAAGAACAGGTTCAATGCAAATTATATTCTGCTTAATCTCCCTATACAAGTTAGAAATAATACTCTATCAGAGACGGTGGCTGATGAATCTTTATGTTAACTTTTATTTCCAAGTGCACTACTTCTTTCTCATTATGAAAACTTCTTCGATATCTAAATCTGGTGAAGTATGTTTTTGGTTTCCCCTATGAATTTGGTTTTGTTTGTCTTGAGCCAATTGCATTCTGGTAATGCTAATTTATGTCGATATAGAAATTAAGCAGCCGAAATTTGTGAAGGGATGTCCTTCATGTTATAATCAGAAACTTTAATAGGTTTTATCAGTTATCTTACATTGATTTCCACTCATTCGAGACTTCTGATACAACTATTGTCTTGTTCTTTCTAGACGCTTATCGAAGCTTGAAATGTTGAAGCGGCGGGGAAAAGGACCACCCAAGAAGGGCCAAGGAAGGCGTGCTGCCAAGCGCAACAAATAAATTATACTTTCACCTGTCTCTGAAACCATAATGTGGGTACTATTTTGAGTTAAAGACAAGTAGTTAGTTGTTTCTGTAAAAGCATTTTGATTTTGATTTATGCTATCAGAGTGATAGAATCCATCTTACCTTTTTTTCCTGAGGGTAAACTTAATGCACTCAGTCCAAACCATTAGCCTAATTTGGTTGGTGGCAGTAGAAGGTCTTTGTCCTTTTATGTGCGTTTAAATATTCAGAAATTGATTCAGTCTACATTGGAAGTTGGAATGCAATCACAAGGTTATGAACTAGACTTTTTCGCATTAATTTTGTTATTGGAGTCTTGGTTTTATGATGAACTGAACTCTATAGTTAATAATATTTAAATGTTTTAATTTTAAATCATATCCATAGTCTATAATATATTGCCACGTATATGAGAATCCGACTTTGTATGTGTGAAACTGTGATCACTCTTTTCTAATCTGTCCAGAAGCTGCTAGTGTTGCAATATTGTGGAAATCAGGAACAGTGGCCAAAGTGCCACTCTTGGCAAAAAAAAAATATCGAAATGTCACGCCAACAGTAAATTTTGTCAAAATGTCACATGACATATTTCGCTATACTGTGTAGCGAAATATGTGTGCAAATAATTCGTTACACATTGTAGCGAAATATGTCACGTCAGAACCAAAAATGTCACGTGTCAAACAGGGAGAATTTCGCTATTCTCTGTTTGACACGTGGCATTTTTGGTTTTGACGTGACATATTTCGCTACACAGTATAGCGAAATATGTCACGTGATATTTTGGCAAAATTTACTGTTGGCGTGACATTTTGGTATTTTTTTTTTTGCCAAGAGTAACAGTTTAGCTATTGTTCCGTGGAAATCATCCCAAGTGGTTGCAATAGGCCACTCTTGTCACTCTCACTTGGACATGACCTGGGTAGGTTCAATGAGACAATGTCTGTCTCATTGTTATTGAGCAAACTTGCATATCCCATTTTTTTTTTTCATATATTTACTGACATTTCCTAATAGGTCCAGTTAATGGGATTTTGAGTTTGAGTCTTTTCATTTTGTTTAGAAATTGCGACTCTCATAAATTGATTATCCTTTGGACAAGTAAAATTTTGGGATTTAATTAAAATTTAAGCAACCAATAACATTTGGTTGCTTAGCACATTTCAACATCCATGTCTAAGGCAGAGGATATTTCTTTTTGTACTATATCACATTGTATCGTAAGAATAAGGGTAAGCTCAATTCTTCATGAGATACATACATCTCTTATCTCTTTATCCGTCTCTTTCCTCCTAACCTTCCCAAAATGAAGAGATGAATTTATCTTGATTTAAAGTCTTATACGCCTATATCTTAACTTAAAACATTTAGATAAATCTTAAAATTGTGTCTTACGGAATTTTCTCAGAAAGTATTTGACAACATTTTTAATAAAATAAGAATCTTAAATTTTAAAAATTGATTTGATTTAAAATCTTTATAACTTTCTTTGTAACCCACTTCAACGGGACAAAACGCCCAACAAATGAAACAAACTAGGAAACCCCCCAACAAATGAAACAAGCAAGGAAAGCATGCAGGCGAGGCAAAGCTATGCCTCCTCCAATGTACTGCCAAAGCAGGCCAGCTAAAGAAGAGGAAACTGTTCAAAAAGCAAATAAAAGAGCAAACAAATCATGCCCAAAATTACTCTATGACGTCTATGCCCAAAATCATTGTATCCGTAACTAAGGAAAAGCAAAGATTGGACAAAAATACTTATGAGGTGTTAATTTTTTGTTTGGAACTTCAAAATTGTGTGATTCAAGCTAAAGTTACAAGTCACAAAATTTTATTATATACAAATTTTATTATGGATTTTTTTTTTTGACTCCAGCATAAAATTAAAAAATCTTACTCCGTAATTGTTGATTTCTATCCATCTAACGATTATAATTTATTGAGTTACATCAATTAATTAATTATTAATTTTAAATAAATTATACCCATTATATAAATAAAAATCAATGGACGAGATGAGAAATATAACGTTTTTCGAATTCAAATATGAATTGAAGCTTTCCACACAAGATAGGTAACGTATATATCCATAATCAACTTGAATGAAGTAAGACATGCATGCAATGCAATGCAATGACACAAGAGAGAGAAGAAAAAGTGGGGGAGCTTTAGACAATTAAAGGAAGAAGTGGGGGCCAAAAAGCAATAATGACAAAATAGTTTGTACGCCCTAGAAGAAGAAGAGGTAGAGAGAGAGAGAGAGAGTGATCAAGCAAAAGTTATTTCTGTTTCTTCCCTTCTTCAAACAAAAAAAAAAAAAACGGAAAGATCAAAAGCAAGGATCACTCTTCCCTCTTCCATCTCTAACCAAAATTCTCTCTCACAAATGCTCTATTTCTCTCTCTTCTATACTAGATCTGTACAAATTCCCCAACAATTTTCCCATTTAATTTTCATTTCCCAGAAGATAAGAAAACCCTAGTCTTTTTTCTTTCGAGCTCTGTCCCTCTCTCTCTCTCTGTATGATACCCCTGAACTCTCAGATTTTTCTTCTCACAGGTTTAGTTTCGTAGTATTCACTGTACATTCTTTCCGTAGATTAGAAAAATAGAAATTCGTGGGTTTTAGTTTTTAGGGTTTTGAATCGGCGAAAATGAACAACAATAGAGCGAGGTATCCACCTGGGATTGGGATTGGACGAGGAGGTTTGAATCCGAACCCGAATCCGAATCCGAACCCGAACCATCCGTTTCACCCTAGGCCCTCTTACCAGCACCACCAGCAACAGCACCACCAGCAACAGCACCAGCAACAGCACCAGCAACAGCAGCAGCAACAACAACAACAGCAACACTATGTGCAGCGGCATTTGGTGCAGCAACAGCAACAGTGGTTGAGAAGGGCGCAGTTGGGTGTTGCTGACACCAACGTTGTTGACGAGGTTGAGAAGACTGTGCAATCCGAAGCCGTTGACACGAGGTGAGTTGTTGTTTCTTGAATTCATTTCTCTCTTGTATGGTAGACAATAATATGTGTTTCGTGATGGGTTTGCTAGTGCATTCTGTGTGGATAAGTGTTAGGGTTTGGGTTGAGATGATTTCAATGTGTTTAGTTATTTGTGTGGGTGAGTGAGTTGTTGTTGGGGCTCACACAATAGCTTTGTGTATAGTGGGATGTTTAGTTAATGCTTGGTGACTCTTTGTGGTAACTCTGTATTGTCCTTGGCTAGTTTGGCTTGATGGAAGTTTCCATTAGTGTAAGTAATGGAAAAACGGCAAAAGCAATATTTACATATTCCAATGGTTTTTGGAAGACTAGTTAATGGCATGGCTAGCAATTGTGCTGCCACAGAGTGGAACCTTTTCACTCCCAAATGCTCGTTCCATTCTACGATAGCACGATTAGTGCCTGCCGTTACAGCATGTGGCCAGAAGAACCCATCTTGTTATGGTCTCTGTTGCCACTAGATCAGAGAACCCATTGTCCATCCAGCCTGATCATAGAGTCTGGTTGCAGGACTTGGCTATATGCGCTGCCGCCTGTGCCTGTTCAGAGCTGAAATGCATGGGCACTTTTACCTCTTTGCATGACACCTTGCCTGGAATTTTTCCACTTTATTTTCTGTAGTAGATGACAACTCATCCATAAAGGAAACAACATAACGGTCCTTTCTATCATGGGAGACAATTTTCCATTTCGTTGGGTACCATAGAGGGGATAAATTTTCTTATGAGACAACTTTGATTCGTTGGGCTCGGATCTTTTGTTTCCTTTCATGCGTTTATTTTATTTAATTGTTCCGCCTGTTTGGAACTGAACTGAAATGCATGGCAGTTTACCTCTGTTAGCATGACTCCTTTCCTGGTTTATTTTCCCTCTTTATTTTCTATAGTACACGACAATTCATTCAAAAAGAAAACGACATCACTGTCCTTTTTTCGTATTTTACATCAATCTTTTTTGTTTTTGGTAAGCAACACCGCCTTCCCTTTTTTCATGCGCAATAAGTGTCCTTTTTATTTAGTTATGCTTTTTTATTTGTATTTATGGCTTTTAATAACACTTTCACTAAGATAATTGACAATGCACTGTAAATTTTGGATATTGAAATGTATTTAACTGTTTATAGTTTAAAGTCTAAAAATTCTAGGATTATTATGTTATTATTTTACAATTTTTTTGAAAGTTTTGGCCACTCTGCAATCTGCTATACCCCATAGTGTTTATGGGATTGGCCACTCTGTGCTGTGTACCTTCACTAAGTACTTTGTACAAAGTATAGTGACTAGTTTTACATGGATCGTGCCCCAATCTCGCGTGCCCCATGTTTGGGAACACATGGGTTGTTTGTGATCCAAAATGCTTAAATCAGCATCTCAAACTTACTAAAGAGAGGAATAGAAGACTTCCAGAGACCCATCTTTTTCTGGTTTCTGTAGCCACTAGATCAGGGAACCTATTGTCCATCCGGCCAGATCGCAAAGTCCTGCTGCCCGCCTTTGCTCTATTCGCTGCTGCCTGCGCCTGTTCAGAAATGAAATGCATGGCACTTTTAACTCTGGTTTTGGACAACCCATTCGAAAAATTTTATCGCTTTATTTTCTAAGGTAGACAATTCATTTTAAAAGGAAACTACTTCACTGTCCTTTTTTGGGTAATTTACATCAGTCCTTTTGTTTTTGGTAACCAACACAGCTTTCCCTTTTTTCCATGAGCAATAAGTGCCCTTTTTATTTAGTTATGCTTGTTAGACTTTTATATTTTAATTTTAAGGCATTTATATCACATTCACTAAGATAATTGACAAGTGCATTGTAAATTTTGAGTATTGAAAATTGTTATTGTTTATTTCTATATGTTATATAAAGTTTTAAAACTTAGGATTATTATGTTTGTTTTACACATAGTAGTTAATTGCGCCGCAATAGCGCTGCAAGCCGCGTCGTATGGGCATTGCGGTGCCTCTCTGCAAGAAACTGCGTCGCGCCGCACCGGAACGCGATAGCGGCCATTGCGATCGCATTTGCGGCCATATTGCTGTCATAAGGAGAAATGTCAATTTTGTCCTAAATTTAAATATGTAACAGAAAAAATTTAAGGGTTTTTTAGGTTATCCACGTCTCTCTATGTCACTTCTGCTATCTCTGCCTTTAAAAAATGTTTCTTTTTGTCATTGTTTCTGTCATATATCTATTCTGCTATTTCCACAATCGCAACCCGCTATAACGCTATAGCGTTTTTCGGGGTTGGCCGTGACATGCCGCAATCCGCATTTGATAACTATGGTTTTACATTTCTTTCTTTCTTTTTATCTCTATCTCTTTTTTTTTTTTTAAGTTTTGGCGTCCCTTCAATCTGCTATACCACATAGCGTTTTTGGGGTTTGCAATTTTGCGCTGTGTTCTACTATCAAGTACTTTATACTAGAGTGTATTGACCAATGTTTCATAGATCATCCCAATCTCTCACGTTCCACGTTTGGTAATGCTTGGGTTGTTTGCGATCCAAAATGCTTAAATCAGCATTCCAAACTTACACAAGAGAGGAAAGAATTCTAAAAGAGAAGAGGAAGGCTGCGCTGCTGCACATGGGAAGAAACACCTAAAGAGGGTGATGGGCCTGAGTTAATTAGTATGGGCTTGAGTTAGTTAGTTAGTTAATTAGGAAAGCTTCTAGCATGTTCCGAGTTAGAATAAAAGGAGTATGTGCAGTGTGATAGGGGGATATTAAGTATTGGTGAATTGGGTTTTGGGAAAGTATCTCTTGGGATCTCTTTGGCCTAAGTATTTTGGCTTGAGAGTGAGTGAGGTCTTTTGGTGTTTTTACTTCTTATTTCATTGTAACCCTGTCACAGTGTGATAGGTCGGAGTCGATTCAACTTGAATCAGTAATTAGGCAATCTGTCATCGTTTTATTTCAATACAATCAGTGTTATTTCTCCATTTTGCTTGTTATTTCTGTTTAATTGTTGTTGAATATATGAGTTCCACCAAATTGGTATCAAAGCTTCAGATCCTTGGAGCCTTGATCTAGATCTATAAAAAAAAATGATTCCAGAATTTTATGGAGATGAAGATGGAATTAAAGCTTGGGGATAGTTGCTTGGGCTTGAACAACATTTTCAAGCAAATCAAATTCAAGAAGCTGATATGCTGAATGAAGCTGTGAAGGGGTTGAGAGGTCATGCGCTCAATTGGTACAAACTTTGGAGTGGGCTCAGTCCCCATGAAAGCTGGCAGAGCTTTGATAGAGCATTTATAGGGAGATATATACCTGAGATCTGTTTGGTAGAGAAGGATGAAGTATCGAACAACCCAGAAAAAAGGGAGGAAAAAAAGGAACAAAAAGAAACCGACGAAGAGGCTGAAATCGCAGCGGACAAGGTGATCAACGACGACATAAAGAAGAAGAAACAGATCAAAAAACGAAAGAAGGAAAAATTGCAGAGAAAAAAAAGAAGAAGAGGCAAAAGAAGATAAAACAGATGCGGAAGAAGAAGATAGTGGAAGAGAGGAAGAAAAAGGAGATGCCGATGAAGAGGTAATGCGTTCTGTGTTTTTGAAGGGATTGAGGGAGGAAATTAGGGCGGAAGTGAGGTTGCATACTGCAACAACTATGGAGGATATTATGTCTTTGGCTCTTATAGTAGAGGAGAAGGAGATTGTTACGGGAAGAAGGAACGAAGGAGTGGGCTGCAACGGATTTAGGTATAATGGGAACGAAGCAGGTTGCAACTCAAGGCCCACAATGACAAACCGTTTTGTTATTCAGGTGAGTTCTAATGTGGGAGAGGAAAATAACAATATGGGCTTCTCTCGAAGGAATGGGCCCAATAACAACCCAAGTGAGTCCAGTAGTGTGGGGAGTAACCCTCGAAATGGGAATCTCATTTAGAACTTAGGGCACAACACAGAGACGGGAGGCAAGACTGGTAGCGACGGCGGAGGAAATAATGACGGAGGTGGAAATGGTGAGCGAAGGACAACGCGATTCTGACGAAGGTCTCCTGAAGAAACGACAGAACGATTGCGGCGCAACCCAATGGGCAACACGCAGGGCAGCGACACGCAAGACTCCAATGATGCCACAAAGGCGATGTACGGCGGCGAGTGTTGAGGAACCTTAACCTTTCTTTTCGGTGCAATGCCCTTGGATATATTTCCCCTGGATGTGATATTCTTCTAGTGCTATGTGGATGTTCTCCTATTCAAGCATATGTAGATTTTATAACAGACTTCAGGGAAACTTTCAGGCACTCGCTTGGTGTTATCATCACAGATGTACAGATTGGCATTGGTCTTGGTAGTGTACTAAGATATCTTTCATTCTCTTCCTAGAAGCCAAATTTTGCTCTGCCTTATGAACTTGGCGAGTTTCAGTGCTATGATAAGTATATGTTTGCGTCTCTAAATGCGTTTGCAAGAAAGATTGGAAAGCAAGAATGGGGAGATGGTGGTTCGTTTGGTACCGGAAGTTTGACGCAACATCCTGAGCATCTTGTTCATTTTAGAAATGAGGGTGGTTCTCGGAACACACCATATGGTAAATTTTTCCTTGAATGTTACTCAGGTATATCTGCATGCTCAGTACCATTTCAGGTCGCTGCACCTATTTCTTTCAGCCGTGTCACATGGAGCCTTGTTGGATGTTTGGTGGGTATTGCATTTACTAAACAATTTATTCTCTTATATACCTACACTAGATCAAATGAGCTGGCCCAGCATATAGAGGTTGATGTTCATATTGGGAATGACCTGGCATTTTCTCATCCAAATAAACAACTCTACATTTTGGCTTGTGGAGATGATAAGTTAGCTGAGGGTGACACAGAGCCAAAGCCTTTTCTGCTGACATTGGGATTAAGAGGTTTCAAACAATGGGATCCCGTTGAAAAATCCTCTCACATTATTTGCCTTTTCTCTTCACCTTGAGGACAAGGTGAATTTTGGAAGGGGAGTATTGATGGGCCTGAGTTAATTAGAATGGGCCTTAGTTAGTTAATTAGGAAAGCTTCTAGCATGTTCTGAGTTAGAATAAAAGGGGTGTGTGTAGTGTGATAGGGGGATATTGAGTATTTGGTGAATTAGGTTTTGGGAAAGGATCTCTTTGGCCTAGGTATTTTGGCTTGAGAGTGAGTGAGATTTTTTGGTGTTTTTACTTCTTATTTCATTGTAACCCTGTCACTGTGATAGGTTGGAGTCGATTCAACTTGAATCAGTAATTAGGAAATCTGTCATCGTTTTATTTCAATACAATCAGTGTTATTTCTCCATTTTGCTTGTTATTTCTGTTTAATTGCTGTTGAATATATGGGTTCCACCAGAGGGAAAGGGGTTGGAGAAAAAAAAACCCTTGGGAAATGCACAACATCATGGTAGTTAAAATTGCATGTCAACTCATAAGATTGGGTGATCGTATGAGTTCTCTCCCGGAGGATCCCATACATCCCCTGGATCGCAATATGGTAGGATTGGGTGGGATCATCATGCGTGACCGTAAAATTGCAGGATCTGGGCTGTCCCCCGATCCTTAAAAAACCCACATCCCTGACCCGGATTCTAGAACTTGGCATTTCTTTTCTGTTTGATGTTGGAGGGGGTCACTGACTCGTTGGAATAATTGGTGGTGATGGTGCCTTCCTGTGTCAGACTGGTTGATTTTGTTGGAAGCAGCATTGGAAGAAGAGGTATCTAAAATTTTCCCTATGAATCCAGCGAAATTTCGAGAGACTGAGGGCGAGATTTTTATGGGAGCGAAACAAACCTAGAAGAGAGAGAATGAATTTTTGTCTCAAGATGTAGAGAGAGAATGAATTTTTGTCTCAAGATGTAGAGAGAGAGGGGAGATCTAAAAAGTTAAAAATTAAAAAAGAAATCGTTTGGGTTCTTTGTTCAGTTTTTCTTTTTTCTTCTTTATAATTTATATATATGTATAATAGGTTTCTGCGCCGTTGCAATATACCAATCCAAAATGTTTGTCTAGTAGTATGAATAAAAAGATCCTTTTGTGTTAAAGGTAATTAGATGAATTTGTTGTTTTTATTATGAAAATCCCTTTTCCCATAAATGAATGAACTTTGCTGTCTCTCTCAGTCTCTCTTTCCTGTTAGACTCTTCTTTCTCCTCTCTTCCTATTCTTTTTTTTTTCTTTCTTTCTTTTGGTTCTTGCTTCTTCTGCTTTCAGCTGTAAGGGTCTTTCTATTATTGTTTTACAATTTTGATAGAACTTTCAAACAACATATTTTCAAATTTCAATTCTCTTTTGCAAGTTATTCTTATGATGTCTTTTTTGAGCTGTGAATTGAAATTTAAGAAAAAAAGAAATACAGTGCATTTTTGTTCGTGTTCCCAGTTGCTAGATGAATTTATGTTTAAATAAATTTTAGTAGTGATTTAAAGTTTACTTATGATATTATATGTGTGTTTGATTGTAATTTTGTTCCTAAGTAGGATCTTACGATCCGTGTTATGATCCCATGAAATTATGAGTTTCCATCCCCCTTCCAATCTTAGATAGGATTTTGATTTTTACTACCTTGCACAACATCACTTAGAATAGAAAAAAAGAATATAACAAAAGAGATGAATAATGGACCCTATTTATGCAAAATGTACAGCATCTCATAAGAGAAAAAATAATAAATATAATGGGCCATGCCTTGGTTTTTAATTAGGCTGATGTGATGTACTAATTTTTTTCACTACTTAATGCTATAGTTTGAAGTTTATGCATAATGATCTGAGACTAAACGAATTTTGATCCTAAATAGTGAACCGACTAAGTATTCCACCTTGTACCATGTACTGGGAAAAAGTCCCATACCATTTAGTGCGATCCATGTAACACTGCTCTTGGGGTCTTCCGTTGGTATATATTTTTGTGAAGGCTGGACTTCATGTTGTTTTAATGAAGTGATAGGAACATGTTTCTTGTAGTCAAGTTCTTAAATGATCTTAGAAACATCAAATTGAGCAGTAAATCTGCATCTTTGGTTACTGTTCTGTGGAAGTTCTAGGTTATCTATCTGTCTGTTGCTCCCATCTTTTCTCATCACCATGCACCATGGTTTTGATGCTTTGATTTCTGGATCAATTTTTTTTTTTGCTGAACTTATTCTATCCTTCAATCTTTTATATGGTTGTGCTCAAATGCAAAGTTGAGTTGGTATTGTCCACAATCTAGGCTAATACCTCCTTGATCCAAATGTTTTATTTTGTGGAGTGATGTTGGTGAAATTATGAGTTTGTTAGAGTTTGGAAATTGTCACCATGCAAGATTTATTTGTTTTAATGCTAGATAGAGCTATTTTATATTTTTTGTGGTTCTTTTCAGTCAAAAGGAAAAAATGTGTTCTCATATTATCCTCAATTGTTTTTGGTTTTCCTTTATTAGTTCACAAGATTGGAAGGCAAGACTAAAGATTCCAGCACCCGATACACGCTATAGGACAGAGGTATGGTTATGAATACTATCTTATGCTTCAAGTGATTATTTATATGCATTTTATTTTAGTCATAAATTAGTTTGAGATTCTTGGGGCCGCAAATATTATCTTGGATAATTCTACGTTATTTTTGTAAATCTTATTTAGTATGGAGTTGCAATTTCATACTTTGATATATGGGAAATACAAGTCTCATCTTGTAGGAGACTTGTTATTTCATGCCATAGACACAGATCATGTGGGACCCACTCTTTAAAAAAATAAAAAATTATTAGCACAACTTTTGATATATGAGTAGAAGGGGTATGTTATCTGATGTAACATGAGAAAAACATACCCCTTAATATATTATAAACAATGTAGTCAAAATTGCAATCTTACTCCTAGGATTGCATGATCCTATGACTTTCGTGCTGCCTCACAATCCTGGTCGTATAACAGATCATTCAATATTGGGATTGCTGGAAAGATTGTAAAAAAGGTGTGATTTTGCGATTTGCACAAGTTGGGGGAGCTGGGCGACCCGTATCTGTTAACCCATGTCTGTTACAAGTTGAGCTGGGCGACCAGCACCTCAAATCCAAAAAATGAAATCTGATGTTCCTCAGCATCCTACATCCCAAAAAAGCAGCTTGATCTTAAGGGGCTTGACCTGGCATATCAAAATCTGCTGTTCCACCTCTCTCATACTCAGCCTAGAAACTGATGTCAACCTCTCTAAATGATAATTGAATATTCAGTTAGATTTCTGAGTGTGGTGTGATTATGTTTTTGTATATTTACATGATAATTGAATATTCAGTTGAAAGGCCTACTAAATGATACCATCTATGGGTTAGTGGTTTAAGCTGCTATTATGGGGTTTTTTATTATTAACTTTAATTTTAACATTTATGTTGGTCTTGATCTGCCCTCCTTTTGTTCCCCAGGATGTTACAGCAACTAAAGGAAATGAATTTGAGGATTACTTTTTGAAGCGTGAGCTGCTCATGGGAATATATGAGAAGGGTTTTGAAAGGCCTTCTCCTATCCAAGAAGAAAGCATTCCAATTGCTCTTACTGGTAGTGACATTCTTGCTAGGGCTAAAAATGGAACTGGCAAAACAGCTGCATTTTGTATTCCTGCATTGGAAAAAATTGATCAGGATAGTAATGTTATTCAAGGTTTGACTCTATCCTCTTGCTTTCAGCTTTTCTCAAGAGTCTCACTCTAGTTGAAAGGACTCTATGTAATAAGATCTCAGTTCCATGATAAATTCAGAGTTTATTTCTCTTCTCTTTTGTCCTGGGTTGCACATCTGTTATAACTAAAACTCTTTGTTTTATTTACAAATTTTGAAAATTCCTTTAAAGAAACCAATATCTTGTTGATATGTTGTCATTTCTCTTGAAAAGTTATTTTAGATTTAGAAAATGGATGCAGATATATTTTGTTACCAAAGTTGGAAATAATAATGATATATTTTTGCTGACATTGTTGGTGCATGATTCAATTATGCATTGCCTTATGTTATTTTATGGCCATGAGTTTTTAAATAAGCCTGATTATAAGATCTATTCATGTTTTGACAATTTGCTTTGTATTTTTTTTATCATGCAGTTGTTATACTGGTCCCAACTCGAGAATTGGCTTTGCAAACATCTCAAGTGTGTAAAGAGCTTGGAAAACATTTGAAAATTCAAGTTATGGTTACAACAGGTGGTACCAGCCTGAAAGATGATATAATGCGCTTATATCAACCAGTTCATTTACTAGTTGGAACTCCAGGAAGAATATTAGATCTTGCTAAGAAGGGTGTTTGTATTCTGAAAGATTGTTCTATGCTTGTTATGGATGAGGTAAATAGATTTCACCTGAAATTCACTGTTTATTGAATCTGGCTGAGAAGCACGTACAGTTTGAACATGTTTGCACCTTAAAAAGGTTTAGGTATGATCTGATGTTGCTGCTATTTTTCTTTGGTTTTTTGTCTGATCTGCTAGGATTAGCAATCTGTACCCTAAATTTTGTCATGTTGGTAGTGGAAGCAAATGCTTCTGTTTATTGATCTCATTTATGTTTTAAATATTAAACACAACATAATTTCTTTTTTATCCTTTCTGCATGTTCATACTGTGGCACTTTTAAGATTAATGTCTTTATTTGTAATAGTGCTAGTTATCAATCTGAGGCTTTACATAGCTTTCTGTGTTCCTCAGGCTGATAAGCTTCTGTCTCCTGAGTTCCAACCTTCCATACAGCAGCTGATTCATTTTCTTCCTACAAATCGTCAAATCCTGATGTTTTCAGCAACATTTCCTGTTACTGTAAAGGACTTCAAAGATAGGTATCTTCATAAACCATATGTCATCAACCTCATGGATGAGCTAACTCTGAAGGGTATTACACAATTTTATGCATTTGTGGAAGAGAGACAGAAAGTCCACTGCCTAAATACTCTATTTTCCAAGGTTTGATTTTTCTGTCAATGTACTCTGGATTTTCTTATATGCCAGTTGTGAAAATAATAATAATAGCTTTTATTCCAGCTGCAAATAAACCAGTCGATCATCTTCTGCAATTCAGTGAATCGGGTTGAACTACTTGCCAAGAAAATCACAGAACTTGGGTATTCATGTTTCTATATTCATGCAAAGATGTTGCAAGACCATCGTAATAGAGTATTTCATGACTTCCGCAATGGTGCATGCCGAAATCTTGTTTGTACTGGTATGTTGCTGACACTGTATCATCCTCCTGTAAATGAGCATAACGAGGTTATTTTTTTTGCTGCATGTGAATGATATCTATCCTACCAAATATGGCAGTTTTTAATATTTGAATTTTTTGCCCCCATTTCCTCTATTTTATGTTATTATCTTCATTCCTTTTTTAAGAATCAATTTAGCAATGAATTATTATATGAGGGAGGTTATACTTACAACCTATATTTACTTACAATCACTTTCTTTATCCTTGGATCAAAATCAAATAAATGGTTACAAAATGACATCAAGTAAGAGCCGTTGATTTGATTTTGATCCAAGGATAAAGAAAGTGGTTGTAAGCCAAAATAGATTGATTATAAATATAACCTCTACCTTATATATGATCGATATTTGTTTAGTGTAGTTTTTTTTATGTACTGATGATATAATAAGCGAGAATTTAGGTTAAGGAACCTTTGCTTTAATAGTTTAATATATCTGTTGTTATTAATTTTTATTTTGATATACATTGTCCCAGTAATTTAAATTTTTCGTTTTTCTTCCTTTGTGTGAAACATCCACAGATCTTTTTACTAGGGGAATAGACATCCAAGCAGTTAATGTTGTTATTAATTTTGATTTTCCCAAGAACTCAGAAACTTATTTGCACAGGGTATGTTTGATTTCAGCTCACTCCTTACCTAATTTGCTTTTCTTGATACTGATTATGAGTACATGTTCTAATGGATGTTCTGCTTATAACAGGTTGGTCGTTCTGGGAGGTTTGGACACCTTGGTTTAGCAGTGAACTTGATCACTTATGAGGATCGCTTTAATTTGTATGTAATTTATAGTTGAATGAATTTCACAGATGCTTGCTGTTGTAGGTTTCTGATGTATTCCATCTTTTGTTCAGATATAGGATTGAACAAGAACTTGGCACTGAAATAAAGCAAATTCCACCATTCATTGATCAGGCAATTTATTGCCGGTGACTGGTGGTAAATACCAGGGTTGTGTTTACAACTGTGGCGAATAGAAATGGTGAGTGACAGGAAATTTGTTCTTTTCATATTTATGATCGGCATTCTGGATCCTGAATCCTGATAAGAGTTGTGATCTAAAAGTAGAGATGAATGTGTATATTTTCAAGTGTAAAAGTCTGCAAGTTGGATTTATTGGAAACAAGTTGGTCGTTCTCATGAAAGACTTCAATGTCATATCGTTAGAATAAAATTAATGCATAGTGATCAGCTAAAAATATATTGTTGTATTGGTTGCTTTTAAATGGGACTTCAATTTTAGTATATCTTCTATTGATTTTTTTTAAAATTTATTTATTTAACGAGGCTTTTTACTTGGACACTTGACATTTATTATGATGCCATTTAAGTAAGAAAAGTTGGCTGGGCATATGTCTAGGATTGTATATTCTATATTCAGATAGCAGTTCTTTGCAGTGGTTTATGCCCAAATTTTTAGTTCATGGTTTGTCCACTATGATTCAATAGTGTAATTGCTGTTGCTGATGTGTGTGCATTTCTACAGGTTGATGCAACTGTCACTCAAGCAAGGTGCATATGCCCTGGCATGAGAAGATGCACTATGGAAATGGGGTATTGTTGGACCCTTGTTGAGTGTTTTTTCATTAATTTCTGGTTTTTAGAGCCCTGAAACATTACTAGGACCTTCAGAAAGTTTAATATTGGCTTTTAACTGCCAGATAATAGCTGGGTCCAGTTTGGGTTTCCGTTGATTACGTTTGCAGATGTGTTTGTTACTACCTGTTATTAGTACTATGGTTTTTTAATTGAATGGTTTAGGGATAATATACCTTTTTATCAATATGTCGTTTCATATGCTAGTATACTATTTCGGTCTGTCATTATGGTTTCTCGTATAGATTAGACTCTTGTAGTAATCTCAACATGGTTCATGGAGATGCTGGTTTATTGACTATTTCTTTTGGCCAGGATTTTGATATGACCATTCCCAGTTGAAGGTGTTGATTTTTTATTTTATTTGTTTTTGTTGGGGTGGGGGTTGGATAGACTCATTGTAATCCACACCATTTGTTGAGGATATGCTTGGTAGCTTCTGATGTTCATGGATGTATTTTCATAGTAGCAGCGCTGGGAGAATGCGGGACATTTCCAAGGGTCAATTCATTACTTTTCACTTGGTTCCTTTTTATAAAGGGAAATCCTTTTTAGTTGGTTAACAATTCATCGCTAGCGTTGCAAAGGAAGAATGTTGGATTTATATTCAATATATAAGATCAAAACATTTGGTACTACTCACCTATTGCCCATGGCTTTTATATCTGAATATATTCCTAGAATTGTGGGATTACCCCTCGTAAATATTATTGGCTAGTTTGTGTCTTCCTTTGACAGTAGGAGGGTCCGTTAATATTCGGGTAAATTATGCGTCATCTTTTTATGATTTAAATGATTTTCTTTATTTTAAAGTGTCAAATTTAATAATGTGTGTCTTTATAAGCCTGTCTTTCTGTACGAATTGCGGGGTATATCTTCTTTGCACTTAAATTCGACGTGCGTAACATTATTCTGCCTTTCACGTGCTAGTTGTTTATTTAAATTTGACAGGAAATATGCAATTACACTCTTTTCATAGTATCGGGGAGATGTCTTAGAAAGTTTCGTTTTATAATCAGGAAGTAAAATGAGGTTTAACCTCTTAAATATTCTAGATAGAATTCCATAGCATTCCAAAGTTAGGACCCTGTAACCGAACCGAAGTATCGGGTATTGTATAGTGGATATATCCTTTTATTAAATATGGAAGAAAATGATTTATTTATATTATTCCTATCTTTATTTATATTTCTTTTTTGTTTTTTGGTAAGGGAATGGGTATTTTCGTTGGAAAATATTTTTTTATGTTGTGCACGCACAAAAAATCAGTGGTATTTATTTTTTTCTTTTTCTCTCTTTGGGTCCCTTCCAGTTTTTTATATGTTGCTTGAGATATATATATTCCCTATTTTCTTATTATTGAAATTGTGGTCTCTGTAACCATCTCATAGATTTGCACAGGATATAAAAGATACTATGATTATCTTTTGAACTGGGCCTTTATTTTTAGAATATTCTTGACTGCAATTCAAGTTTGATTCCGTGATTCTTATTTTCCACTATCCACTCTGTGAACAAATTCGTTAAGCGTAGTCTTAAGTAACGCTGTCTACATGGCATTAGTTTCAAATTATCATAAAAATTGATATTCAAAAACAAGTTATCATTAAACTTTTAAATGTGAGAAAATTGTACCAATTAAACCAATTAATTTGTTAAGTAAATGTGAAAAAAGAGACTAAAAAAAGGAGTAATTATTTTAAGATAGCAAGAAAGATATACCGATCGAATCAATTCCTTCAGCTTCGAACTTCATTTCCATTTCATGAAGTTGTAATAATCTGAGAACAGTGGAAAGACACCGAGAACTTTGATCAATCAGTCATATGATTGAGCATATTGGAGTAATCTTTTTCACTTCATCACAGAGGTCAAATCAAATGTAACCTATGGATGATAAGTAGAAGAGGTGCATTGATCATTTACGCTGCATGCCTTAATTTCCCTCAATATGGAGCCACAGACAGTGTTTGTAATGATACGATATATGAACATGTTCCCAATTCAATTCCCTCAAAATTAATGTATATAGTGCTTCCCATTTCTATACCTGGTCATTTTACCATGTTCCTGCGTATAATCCATTAAGGGCAACAAATCTTCACATACGATATTTTTATATGATAAATCATAAAAAAAATTGTCTCTGTTCTTCCCTTGAGAGATATTAAATAAATGAGACTCTATTAAATTTCAATAATCCATGTTAAGAATAGTTTCTCCCTTTTATTGAATTCATGGTATTCGAGTTCAGTAAGAAAGCCATGGTTGAGAAAGAAAGCGAGAGAAGAAGAAGAGAGTTTTGAATATGAATCTATGTATTGAATAATCTGAGAAACAAGATACAAAGACTCTACAAATATATAGAGTGAGATTGCTGACTCAGCTAATGAGTCAACTCTGAACTAACTAACTAATAGCTTAACAAATCTGTAACAGAATAGAGAGAGGGATCTGATGTATTTAGGCTCTCTAAGTAATTACTACTACAATTACATCAATACAATAAACACTACAATTACAGCAATATAGTAAACAATAAACAAATATATCTAATACATGGATTACTAACAAATTATGTTCTTTATCTTTTTTAACAGAGACAAGTTATATTTACAAACTTTTTTGTTTACAAACTCTTACAAATTACACTATGTTCTCCCGGGAGAACATTGATTACACTATGTTCTCTCGGAAGAACATAGTGTAATTTGTAATAATTTTCAAAAAAAGTTTGTAAACCGATCCTTCCACTTTTTAATATAAGATTATGTTTTGTATTTTATTTTATTTCTTAATATAGGATAATGTTCAACATTTTATTTGGTCTATATCTCTCTTTATGACTTTTGACAGAAGTTTTAATGCTGTCATGCTATTTGCTCAGCTATTGAAGGTTCCCTTTGTAGATTGGAGATAGACTTTGTCGTTGAAATCCCAACATCTGCTGTTCATATTATGCTACACGGTTGATGATCCTGGTTTATCCATAATTTCTTTAAGGCAAGGAATTTGATATGTTCTATAAAAGTTGAAGGATTTGCTTAGTTATCTCTTGTTTTTTAATACATGAGGATGTTCACATGATTGTTGCTGAAGTGATATATGCTTCGTATTTTTTGATGATCATGGATGTATTTTGGGGACATTGACCATATTGTCACTCCTTTAATAAAAATTTATCTGATTGCCACTTTTAAAAAAAATTTTGCCAAAATCTCACGCCTGAATCCCGCTGGTCTGACAAGTGGGAATGGACTGGACACGTGTCAGCGTCTGAATGGTGAACCATTCTCGCTGGGCTGCCCAGCTAGAATGACAGAATACTGACACGTGACAAAAGTACAGACATCTAGAGAATGCCTGTGCTTTTGTCACGTGTCAGCATTCTGTCATTCTAGCTGAGCAGCCCAGCGAGAATGGTTCACCATTCAGACGCTGACACGTGTCCAGTCCATTCCCGCTTGTCAGACCAGCGAGATTCAGGCGTGGCATTTTGACAATTTTTTTTCAGAAGTGGCAATCAGATAAAATTTTGCCTAAAAAATGGCAGTACGGTCATTGTCCCTGTATTTTGATACTCCTCAAGCACTTAGAATCTAGAACAATTCCTAGTGTCAATTTATTACTTTTCGGCTGGTTCAAACTTAATTGAGAAATGATAATTTTATAAACTATCACTCATAATCCTCTTGATTCTTTATACAAGATATTGGACAATACTGATTGTTTTGAATAATACTGATTGTTTCGAATAATACAGATTGTAAATATATTTCATAAAATATAAATAAGTATGTTCTATTAGGTACCCAAGAAAAATGCTTTTAGATACCTGAGATCAATTTTGCAAAAAGGTGGTGAGATTGATAAGGATGTAAATCATAGGATGAAATGGAGGAGTGCATCTGAGTTTCTGTGTGACTGCAAAATTCCACTTAAGCTAAAAGGAAAATTCTATAGGACAACAATAAGGCCTGCAATGTTATATGGAGCTGAATGTTGGCCAGCACATAGGCAACACGAGCATAAAATGAGACTAACAAAAATGAGGATGTTAAGGTGGATGTGTGGTTATACGAGGATTGATAAGATAAGAAATGAAGATATTCGACGAAAGGTAGAAGTAGTACGGTAACGGAAAAGATGACGGAACATAAATTGAGTTGGTTTGGGCACGTAATGAGACGATCCCTGGATGATCCTGTAGGAACAAAAGTTTGTTACCAAGAGCTCGACACAAAGAGGAGTAGAGGTAGACTGAAGCTTACCTAGGAAAAGGTAGTTAAACAAGACTTAATGGAGTGAGATATAGATTGGCGGCCAGTGTGTCTTAGGACGGAATGGAGAAAAGCTATAAGCATGGGGAAGGTTAAATCCGCTGTTATTTCTATGTTCCAGATGTTCTCTTTTTAGTCATTTTCCTCTTCAATCCCTCCCTCTCTTTCTTTTCTCCTTCTTGTCTTTTATCTTATTTCCTCCTTTCCCTATTTTTTTTTTATTTTTGTATTTATTTTTTATTTTAGTTTATTTTTATTTGTATTTTTATCTTATTTTATTATTTATTTATTTTTTTTTATTTTTTTAATCTTCTCTTATTTATCATTGAATTTATCTATCACCAATTCAATTAATTTGGATTAAAGATGCATTTGATGTTGATGTTAATATTGATAAATAAGTATGTTCTATATGATGATCCCCATCTTCACTGTTGCACTTCTAATTTATTAAAAAGTATAATAAAAATCCTTCAGGCAATGTTGCATTTATTACCCGAAGATGAGCATTGCACTGTTACAATGAGTCGATTTATTTGACCATCTGTTGAATTTTCTGTTTTCTAGGCTCCACCCCAGCCTTCTGCTTTTCACCATAAAGTTTTTTCTACATGTGTGCCAAATAATAACTCAGTTAAATAGCTATTAATATTTTGTTAAATTTTGGCATAAGTATTTCTGATGCAAAATTTCACAAAAATTTAACTAGTGTATAATTGATTTTTTTTATTATTGTTTATTGCTTCATTAATTATTTGACTAATTCGATTGGTGTCCAATAGAATCATATCATTAGCAAAGCTCTCCTATAATTGACTTTTCAAACTTATTGCAAACAATGTTATTTACAAAAGTGACTTTGCAGAATGATGTTCACTTTGCAAAATTATCTTAGCATTGTCATAAACTGCACAACTACAGATGTAGCTGGCACTTGACTTGAAAATGTTATTTATCTCAAGCTTTAACTAGATTATTTTAGAGCTTGACGGGGATTGGGTTAATCAAGTATGATTAGTCTTGTATTGGTTAATAATAGGTTAAATGAATGTACATTAGTGAAAAGATCCATGAATCTATTGTCTTAAATCCACTTGCTATAGTTGAAGTAACTTATCCCATTGATAGTGGTCCCTTGTCACGGGCTTCCCCTGAACCTACCTAACAATGGTATCAGAGTCGCCCATTGGTGGTGGTTCCTTGTCACGGGTTTTCTCCTGGACTCGTCTGACAGTGCTATACACTTGACTTAGCATATCACCAACCAATGTGGGGTCCAACACCATGTCACAACCCGAAACCTTAAGGTATTGGGTTTATAGGTCCTCCCACTTATATGGAATTCACTTAACCAATTACCAACTAATATGAGACTCATCACATCTCTCCCTCAAGTGTGAAACCCACTATTGATATGCTCCCCCTCAACCGAGTACCCAAGGGTCCAAGTACTCAACCCGCCTCCTAGCCAAAGACCCAACTAGTCGGAGCCAAACCCGACTCTGATACCACTGTCAGACGGGTCAGGGAGGAGCCCATGACGAGGGACCACCATCAATGGGCTAAGCTACACCAATCGTATCAAGTGAGTTCGACACCACATCTTAACCCAAAATTTTAAGGCATTGGGTTCATGGGTCCTTCCACTTATATACATTTGACTTAGCACATTACCAACCAATGTGAAACTCATCACACTTAAATATCCCAACAATCTCCACCTCAAGTGTGAAGTGAAACTCAACATTGATATCTCTTCCTCAATCACATACCACCTTATGGCCAAAGTACTCAACCTACCTCTTAACCAATCATCAGGCTAGCTCGATCCGAACCCGGCTCTAATACCACTATCAGGGTCCAGGGGCAAGCCCGTGATGAGAGACTACCACCAATGGGCTAAGCTAGTCCAACCGTAACAAGTGGATTCGATATCACATCTTAACCCAAAACTTTAAGGCATTGAGTTCATGGGTCCTCCCACTTATATACACTTGACTTAGTATATTACCAACTAATGTGAGACTTATCACACTCAAATATCCCGACAATAAAAAAAGCAGTTTATTCATCGTATTTATTAGCTCAAACTTTAAGATTTAAAGGGTGTTATAATTTACTAAAAGAAATTTGTATCTGTAATGGTAGCTACTAAATGCAAACAAAGTGAGGAATTGCAGATATGAAAATCGATTAACTCATCAAAATAGAAGATTAATATCAGATGAAGATTAACTGATAAACTCTGAATCCATGAATTGTTTCCATATAAGTAGATACAAGTAACTATAACAACATCATATAATCACATAGAAGGGAGAAGAACATACCTATTTAATTCTGTTTTTTAAACCTTGTTATTATAATTCCCTCTTGTCTTCTAGTTTTATAAAATGCACCCTTTCGTAAACCAAACACCACCTTAGTTATTTCTTGTCAATGAAAATTATTTTTAGTTGTTAATTGTTTGCCATGAGAAACATGACCAAAAAATAGTTTTCTCATTCATTTCTTTGATATAAAAAACATGTGGTCGGAGTATCCGTACACTGCAAGCCATTAAATGCAACTTCCATTAATGCTTCTTTTCCTCTCAGTCCTTCTTCCCTTTGACATCTCAGCGTGTCATAATGTATGTGTTGGTTGATGTTCATTGCTCAATCCAACACTTGCTTTCTTTTTTCTTTTTATTTAATTTTCTTTTTCTTGACTCTGCCATTAATGCAGTCACTATCATATTCACTGCATCTGCTTTTCTCTCTGATGCCATTTCTGTGCAAATCTAAAACCTCAAATATAGGACGCATGCTTTTTATCTCTCGTTCATTGTTTGTGCAAAATTTTCCTCTCAATGGTACTGTACACATTTATTGCATATAGCCTGCTTGAAACTCACATATAGTCCTTGCAAGCCCCTATCAATTAATAATGTCTCCTCAAATAGCCTCAGATAAAGGCAATGCAACTTTTTCAAACGTTTAAATCCTTCCCTATCTGTGCCATGCTCACTTTGAGGCTTCTAGTGTCCTCATGAGTCTTTTGAAGTGTTAGAAATAAACAGCAGAATTGTTCTAAAGGTGTGAAATTTAAAAAGTTGTTACAGTTTATGATCTTTACTTTGTTGATATACTGTGGTGGGTGTTGTTGAGAATTGGATAAAGAATGGGAAGGACACCTTGTTGTGAAAAGATGGGCTTGAAGAAAGGTCCATGGACAGCTGAAGAGGATGAGGTTCTAGTCAATTATATAAAGAAGAATGGTGGTCATGGAAGCTGGCGTTCTCTTCCCAAGTTAGCAGGTTTTGATGTTTTTATCTTTCTCTAGCTGGTGGTCCTTATGTCAGTACTTGTGTCTTCAAACTATACTTCTCCAATCACTTTTCTCTCTTTGAAACAAAAGTTTCCTTGATTCTGTTTCATCCAGAAAGCAATAAAAATGCTGCTTTTGAAGCCAACTTTCCATTGTTATGAAGCATATATTTCTTAATTATGCTGGTAAATTTTCAGTTTACTTAGAGCAACTTTTCTTTGAAACTGCTGTGATGCTTGTTAACAAATGTCTTGGATGATTTTTGTTTCCCTTTAATGGTTTGTACTTTACTCACCAAGTTATTAGGACTATAGTGGGTTAAAGGGCAAGAGAAAGTTCCTATCTTTGGGCTTATGTTTATATTCATGGTACTTGGCTGCTTTTGTAACACATGCTGATTTAACTACACTTAATCAAGTTAAGTGAAGAACTCTTTTCACCCTCTCCTCTTTTTCAAGTCCTTAGTTAAAGTTAAAAGGTAATTAATTTGAAGTAGAAGAAATGTTTACTGCCTTACATGGAGTATATTATTACGAATACATAACCATAATGTTTTCTAGTACCAGGTTATGTTTTTCTGTTGTTCTTCTCATGTTCTGTTTATAGTCTAAACCAAAACTTTACCTTCATTTTCATTAGATTTTGTAGCAAATAAGCTAGCCAAGTGCCAAACCCCAAACCACTCATCCATTTGGAGATTTATCTTCACATAAAGATTTTGTTCTTGTATTTCCTTCGAATTATTGTCAAACAACTAAATAATAATTGGCCATATAACTTTCAACTTGATACACATTCCCTTGCTGTTTCCAATGATTATAAATTTTTCTTTTCTTTCAGGTCTTCTTCGATGTGGTAAGAGTTGCAGGCTAAGGTGGACGAACTACCTCAGACCTGATATTAAACGTGGCCCTTTTACTCTTGAGGAAGAAAAACTAGTCATACAGCTTCATGGCATGCTTGGAAATAGGTACTTAACTGATTTCATTTTCAACTTATACTTTCCCTCGGTAGAGAAGTGTTACCGAGAGTACACTTTAGAGGGGTCTAATTCCTTTGTCTCATGACTCTCAAACCCATTTTATTTATTTGTGAAAATGTAGTCCAAAACTCAATTGGTGCAAGCAAATGTGTTAAATTTCTATTCGTGATGGGAATCGATCATCTCATGTCTTATTTTAATATGACCATGTCATGTCCATTCATTTATAGATCAATCATGACAATTTCAATGAAGTTCATAAAATGAGAAAATGGAAATTGTGACTTCAACGGTGATTGTTGGTCTGTAAATGAATAATTGAGATCTTCCGCATGACATAATCATATTAAATTAAGACATGAGAAGATCCATTCTCCTTTCTGATTATTAGGCTACTTTTGGAAAAAAGAAGATAGTCCTTTATATAGTTTCAGAGCCATGTGTTTCTTGACTAATGAAAGACTTTGAGACCATAGTTATCATACTGTAAAGAAATTTGGGATACACCATCCCAAAAGCTAGCTCAAAGGGTGGGAGTGTCCAAGACCTTATAAACTTCACATTAGTTGTACATACAACTAACCAATGTAGGACTATATATCTCAACACACACAATGGGGGGCTCCAATTATTATTTTTCAAATTTGAGTGCCTTTATATCTTGTTAATAACAGTTTCCAACAAATGAAACAATTAACAGATGGGCTGCTATAGCCTCTCAGCTACCAGGAAGAACAGACAATGAGATCAAGAATTTATGGAACACACACTTGAAGAAACGTCTAATATGCATGGGACTTGACCCCCAAACCCATGAGCCAGTGTCCTCTTCACATTATCCAATAGACAAGGCACATGCATCTATATCCACACGCCACATGGCTCAGTGGGAGAGTGCAAGACTTGAAGCAGAAGCAAGACTCTCAAGGGAGTCATCATTGTTCAACAATCCTTCCCTTTTTGCTAACAAAACTACTGATTCTGACTATTTCCTACGCATATGGAACTCTGAAGTTGGAGAATCTTTTCGTAGTGTTCACAAATCAGATGACAAAACTAAAAGCTGCCAAAGTCCCATTTCTCCAAGATCATCATCTTCCAACATGTGTGGTTCATTTTTTGCCATTTCAAAAGATTTGGCTTCCAACACAGTTGGATCCTCAACCCCAGCAAGTAATGTGATAATAGAAGATTTGGAGTGGAGAAACTCCCAGTCATTTGATGCAGGTGTGATTCATGGCTCTGATTCATCAAGCTCTAATGACCTAGAAGACTCATCTGACACTGCATTACAGCTCTTGTTAGATTTTCCTATGAACAATGACATGAGCTTCTTAGAATAAAACTCTCTTATTATGTTCCCTATGCAGCATTACGTGTATGTATATATAAAGGATATGTGGCCAGGTACTGTTTCTTTGTTAGATTTTTGTTGTTTTATCAAACTATTTAAGTTTTTATTTTTTATTTTTTTTAATGTTATGCTTTTGAAATTTTTGTTTCGTTTTTTTTCTATTCTTTTTTTTCTCTTAAAATTATGTTAATATGCATGTGTCTTAAATTTTAAAAAATTATCATGTCTTCCACGTATTGACCGAAGTTATGTTTTGAATTATTTTCTCATAAAGTGTTATTATTGGTGCATCAATTTTTTTATTACAGTAAATGAAACAAAATATTTTAGGTTTGCATGGAAAACATGATCTACTCAATATAATTTGGCCTAACAATTATTTTAAGACTCAAAAATATTTTCCTTCTGACCCTAAACTCTACAAAAAAAAATAAAAAAAATTGTTTCTCTATACCCTTTGATGGTATGTTCATTATGTTTTACTTGCAAAAAAATATAGAACAAAAACACTTGAACTTTGAAAAAAGGCATCTCGTTAGACTCATTTTTTTTAGGTTTATTTTTTTTCTTTCTCTTTATATGGCCATACATGAGAATTACATTTTTTTTTTTTGTGTATGTAAGAAATTAAATTATATCTTATAACATAAGAAACACTTATCATTTAGTTTATAATGAAAAATAAAAAATATTTAAAATGTCATCATGTTCCCTAAAGAGAGAATAGTTCTTAATAATAATAAGAGAGAGAGAAAATCTATTGCTTGACTGTCATGTAGTGAAAAAAAAAAAAACAGCATAGAACACTTCATCTAAGTGAAAGGATCTACAAGCTGTTCTGTATCTCACAAACTTCGTATGTTTTCCCTTTTCAATACTTTTCTTACACACATAAAAAACATGAAGAACAAACAACAAAAATATAGACAAAATTTCATTATTGCTACACATCAGACACCCAAAAGAAGAAGAAGAAGAAGAAAAAAATTTAAAAGCATCCAAGGTGCTTCTTTGGAGTGGTACCAGTTGCACGGTATTTTGCAGCCACTTCCTCTACCTTGATAAATTCTTCACCACGCTTGGCTTCAACCATAGCTCTCTTCTCCTCTGCTTGCTTGTGAACTGTGGCTATCTTGTTTTTCATTTTTTCCCCATATTCTGCTTTCTTTTTCTCCAGTTGTTCCTGCTCAGATTCGAGGGTGTTAGAAGTTGAATGTTATAAGTGCTTGCAATTTACATGTAACAGTAAAATGTGTTCTTAACCTTCTGTACAAAAGGTTTCTTTAAGTTATCCTTTGAATGGAATGACAGAGAAAAAAGGAGTCCTCCATGTAGAAGTCATCTCTAACTTCTGCTAAATTGAGTTTTTTTTAACACACTACTTTGAATTCTTTTTGGAGATTTCTCCACCATTTCATTAACTAATCGACTAATCTGGTTGGGCTAGGCAAGATCACAACGGCGGCAAAGCTCTTCCTATCAAGTTTTTAACACATTTACGTACCCAAGACTTGAATTCGAGATCACTAATTAAGCTGAAACAATCTCTTACTAGTTGATCCATGTGTTTGGTGTTACTATTTTGTATTTTTATCATAAAGGAGGAGAAGAATTTCGATGGTCCCGAACCATCATTTATTCACTAGTCCGGACCAATCAAAATCCACCAACTATTGAGGGGAAAGGAGAGAGGAGAAATGAAAAAGAAAAATTTGTTCAAATGTCACCCCTGAATGGAAGGACCACGTGGGGTCTGGAGCATCAATTTTTTTTCCATAAAGGAGATAGATAATCTCTTACTTGGATATGCCAAATATAAAAAAGTATGAACTTTTGTAAGTTCCTGTCTTTAGTGGCTTATTTCATTAATAAAAGCATAATCCTTTATGAAGAAGTATTCAGTTTAGGGATGCCATAGGTATTTGATACCATTTGACAAAAGCAAAAGAATGATTGGATTAAATGTTCCAAATGTCCGGTAAGCATGCGACAAGAGTGAAGAAAAGAGAATTTTTTTTTTTTTGGCTAAAAAATCTACATTTTTTGGTGTCAACATAAACATATTATCATGTATCTTATCCCAAGTAACACAGGACAACATAAATCCTTGGCTTTATTTTGTCTTTCATATATTGATTATATTATTTAGAGTTTAGACCTTTAAAGAGATGTGCTTCGCTGTGTAGTGTGCCGACATGCAGCATGATATCATGGATAATAGAAAAACACTGTCATCGTATCAACAAATAACTGAACAAGGTTTATTACCTCAATTTTTCTCAGCTCAGCTTCAAGAGCTGCTTTCTTGCTGTTTTCCCAAGCAGCAACGGCAGAGAGCTGTTTTTCGGCTCTGTTAACAGAACAGAATAATTTGTAAAATATAGGATATACTGAACATTAAAAAAACCACTCTCCGTTAAATCTCGACTAGCAAGAGTGGGATGAGGGCAATCTTTGTATGCAACATTGCCCTTGTATAATTGCAAAGAGACTATTTTCCCGAATTCGAATCCGTGACCTTTTAGTCACAAAAAAACATTTTTACCACTGATCCAGACTTGCCCTCTTATAAGGAAATACTGAATATAAAGACAAAAAAAAAAAAAAAAAAAAAAAAATCCAAATGACAATTCAAATTTGTAGAAACCCCATGCCCTATTGGTCCGCAGATTACAAAATCACAATATCTTAAATAGAGGCCTCATCTAGTTTTGTAGCATATGAACTTATGAAGGGGTTGGATTTGGGAGGATTCTTTGTCATGCAAACTGTATTAACATAGTACTTATTTGATAGATTGTGTTCTTTCTAGTGAGGGTTCTCGTTGCAATGTAACTTGGTCTTAGGCCTAGAATGGCAAACTGCAAAACGATATTAAAATAAAGTCTTACTTATTCTCAGCTTTGGATTTTTCACTTTCTTCCCATGCCTTCACATTAGAAAACCTTTTCTCTTTCTCTATTTCTGCAAGAGCAATATCTGTAGACCATAGAAGGACAAAAGTCACTAGTTTAGGAAGATCTATGCCATCCAGAAAAATTGATTGGTGAACAAAGAGAGGTTTCATAACACAAGTTAGTATGAGCACATATTCATGTTATCAAGGAAGACATAGAGATGTGTCAGCTAGAAATCCATGCATATTTTTGCAGTGTGTCAAGAGACTAGATGGTGCACAAACCTGACATGATAGTTCTCAAATTGACTAATTTAAGTGGCTATGAAACAAATAGCACCAAATATTAAGTGCAAATACTATATGAACAAGATCAAATATTAATAAGTTAGACAATGTAAACTGAAATATGAGAAAAATCAATACTAACCTCTATCAAGTGATCCTGCTGAGGCTTTCTTTTTTACAGGATCGGGTATCTCTGTAGATCAAAAGAAAAACAGTAAAGAAAAGCAATGATCTCAAGGGTAACTGCATCGATGGTAAATAATGCAGGCTTTCTTTAATCATTGGATTCTAATTAGGATGTCCACTTTCTTATTATATGCAATAAATTAAAGACAACCTGTTTTCACTTTTCCTATAAATCAAAGCATCATTTGCCACAGTGGACAAAGAACTTTCATCACAACATATGGGACAATATTTAATGATCACGTTGAGGGCCTAATGAAATTCACTTTATTGGGACAGGGGAGAAATTATTTATATATTGACGTATAGAACAAGAAATGATGTAACATGCTTTGTTGAAAGAAAATTGCTATAGTAGTTAAACCTAATTGGATATGTATAAATGAAATTATTACAATAAAGGATTATAAATACAGTTAGTTGACCCTCATAAAACAACAGCTAGCTAGATAATCAATTATGCTGCCACAATAATCACCAAAGAAAGAGCTGAAACAACTTTTGCCAAAGAAAGTGCGGTGGCCCCATTAAGAAGACACATCATAGAAAGCATACGTATCTAATAATTGAGAGGCATGCCTAGAAGATCACTGGTCAGAGTTATGAAAATAGAACATAGAAAAGAGGGAAAATGAATTATTAGAAGAAACTACAAAACGACAACTTTTACTTAAAATTTTTCCGATTCATATCCTTAAACGCTCTCCAAGGAACAATGAAAATGGAAAATCAAAAGAATCCCATTAAAAAAATTTGATGAAAGAGAGAACAGGATAATAGAATATAAATCAGAAAAAAGAAAGAAAAAAACTTCACTAATGCAAATTATGCAATAATACTTACTTAAAATAGGAAGTTGGCCTTATAAGCTAATATTTATTAAAAACCAAGAACCTTAGTTCGCTCTCCTTTCACTTACCATTTTCCAACCCTTTCTCAGCAACCAAACAGAAATTAAGAACGGTCAAAACATCACACTCTACAGTATTAACCAAAATCAGACAAAGCAACCACGTAAAGCTGCAATTTTGATGACAACCCATGATTATTTTCCTGGAAAACAATCAGCATCCGATAAAAGCACAAAGCAGTACAGCAAAGAAAGCTTGAATATGAATGAAAATTAAACTGAGCAAACAACGCAAATCAAGCACCAAAAACCCTTGATGAAACAGAAAAGGAAAATAACACAAAAAACAAAAACAAAAACTCAAGTAACAAATACAATAAGCGCTCCTTCATTTTTCCAACGTTTTCTCATCGACCAAACAACCACAACACAATACAACAATTAAAGTTACCAAGCTATCTTGTACTTGTAAAAGTTGAATTTTGATGGCAACCCATAATTTATAACCAACAAAAGTTTGGAAATTTGAACATGAACGAACTGAACTCACTCTCACTCTCAACAAGAGCAAGAGCCTTGGTTTCCTCTGTCGCTATCGGTGCAGGTGGTGGCGGCGCCACCGCTTTCTTATCAACGACGTCAACCGGCGGCGCCTCAGCCAGCGGCGGAGCCTCAGCTAGTGGCGGCTCGGGGTCCACCGGAGCCGGAGCAGGAACCGGAACCGAGCCTGTCTCCGCCTTGGTTTGAAGCTCTGCCATAGCTTCGGACTTTGGTTCGGTAGAATTCAGAGAGAGAGAGTTTATAATTTTATCTTAAAAAAAACAACGTATGCATCAACGTTCGGATAAACAAACAAGGGGTGCCTCTTCAACGCTTAAAAATGGCATCCAAGACAAGTGCTTGCACCGTGGAACCCGTGTGAGTTCAATGTTGTGTGTGGGGCAAGGGAGGTTTTGGAACCGTTGATTTGAGGTAGGGTTTGATCGTAGGGTGGATGTGACGTGCCGACAGGTAATACAGGTAATAGTTGCCACGTGTGGTAGGATGAGAATGAATGGAGCTTATGCCAGCTAGCTATGTAAATGAAATAATGCATGGGCATGTGTTATGTATCATTGAGAGGTGGTGGTGGACGACGACGTCTTATTCTTCTTCGGTTTGTGGGTCCCACTCAGATTTGCATAACATTGGTAGGACCCATGTTTAAGAGGTGAGTAGTGATCTCATTTATTGTAAATAATAACAACTAATATCAACCAATAAATGGTAAGTAGTTGGTTCTCTTAATTGATGTTCTTGAGTTTGAGTTTTAGAATGAAATAAATGGTGTCGGAAGAGTGTGACTACTAGTAATTGAATTTTTTATCGGAACTCTTGTCTTTGGTAGAATCACAAATGTATCCCTCATGGGGTATAACATGTAATTTTAGGGGTACTTTTAATAGCAATGATATAAATCAAGGTTTTATGAAAGCTTTCTAAGTGTTATAAGAGGGGGATTGTGTATTACGACTATAGTGGTTCTCTATAGTAACAGTATATATATTAGTTCATGCAATTAGCGAATTGTACATGTTTGTTGATGGTGAAGGGAGAATTTATATGTATGGTTGAGCTCTTCGAGTGTGAAAGAGTGAGTCAAATCAACTAAGGTTAGCCTAAGCCATTAATGTCTGTTGTGCAGAGTAAAGAGAGGGGGGACATTTCATGTAAAACGTTGTGTTTCTTATATTGGAATATTTGTTGGGTCAGCACTGATATGGCAACACTGATACGACATTACTAATATAGTAGCATTGGTATAGTAGTAGTTGTATGAGCCAAGGATACTGAACTTCTATTCTTGGTCAGCTAATTGAGCTCAGAACACTATCAATTCCTCAATTTCCAAGTGAAAAGAAAGAAGTCCAATGATGGTTAATCAATGGATTTGTTGGAGAAACAAATAAACATGGTTTCAAATATATCATTTAGGGAAGAAACACCATTCTAATGCAATTAAAAAAATTAGTCTAGTATGTTCTTCATATGGGATTAGCATTTTGGTTCAAGGAAGGTTGGGATTATTTTAAATTAATATTAACCACGATTTAACCCTAAGATTTGTCATTCCTAATTTTTTATTTCCAAAAAAAAGGGTGTGGATGAAATTGTGCGGAACTTTATGTATTAAATTGATAATATGTTTAAATAAACAAAAAAATATTTCTGCAGTTACTGTAGATAAGTTATCTGCATTTACTCCCACAACGACGTCATTTTGGGATTGAAATATTAAACAATTATAATTATAGGGTTTGTTTTTTCTAAAGTTACTTTAGATAACTTTATCTAATATTCATCGAAACGACGTCGTTTTGGGACGGAAATCATGGTGTTTTTGTAATTTTAATTTATTTCAGGGTTATAATAGTCTTTATCATTCTAATTTTTAATCCTTTCAACCTCAAAACAACGTCGTTTCGATGAACATTAGATAAAGTTATCTAAAGTAACATCGGAAACTTTTTTCCCATAATTATAAAGACTATAATAACTCTGAAATAAATTAAAATTACAAAAACATCATGATTTCCTCCTTAAAACGATGTCGTATTGGACTTACTGTAGATAACTTATCTGCAGTAACTGCGAACCCTTGAATAAAACATTATTTGAGATTTTTTTTTAAATTGCATTAAAATGTTCCTTTTCCATGTCATTTGGGATTAACTATCTAAGTGCGTTTGGCGAGAGAGTAATAATCTATAAATGTTAGTGGAGATCAATATAAGAGTTTCCATATTTAAGCTCTCTTGAACTTATATATTTAGTAGACCTATATGAAGAAACTAAATGTTAAAAAAAAAAATATCTTAGATGATTTATTGTGAAAGACTGGGAGTAAAATGTATTTTTTCCTAATTAAATTAACTAATTCATGGATAATTTTCATTAACCGAAAATGCAAAATACTGTATTATAAAGGAGGTAGCATATTTAACTTGTTATACACACGAAAAAATTTAGTCAATCATAAAAAGAATTAAAGTGGATGATTCTTGACAACTTTTAGTTTTTTAATTATTAATAATCATTTTCCTTAGCACTTGATAGTTATAATTATTATGATTCATATCACTTTTCACAATTTTAACGTTGCGAACAATATTTAATTCATTCAAACCAAAAAGGCCAAAGCAAAAATAAAAAAGAAGAAAGAAAGGAAGGTGTTGCCAACTGTATATATTTTTTTTTGGTACAATGCAACCTATATTTTTATGATAGCCAACAGTTTTTTTTTTTTTTTTAATATGATAGCCAGCTGTTTTATGCCTCTCATAATATTTGCATTGGAGAAAAAATATTATAAACTTTTTACTGTTATCACTCTTTTAAATTACCAGTTGTTTACTTTCTCATAGGCATTAATTATTAATACTTTATTTAAAGCTTATTAAAAAAAATTAAAAAGGGAGAAGGAATAATTATAGGACGTTAGGTTTGTTTGTGTAGCTCCCGCGTATGCACTTTCCACTCATTTTCGCAGTGTTTTACCATTGTTGGTGTCGGTAATTTCAGGGTCTGGTCTTTGATAGTGTGATTGTGATAGGTTTGGTGAGTCTGTTGTTTTTCCTCAAATCTCTTCCCATTCATCGTTATCAGCTTTGGTTGGTTCAAGCAGTGTTGTTTGCCGTTCAAATGACAACAAAATCATTAACCGTGTACTGCATTTCCAAAACATAGATATCACTTTTGCTAATCTGCCTTTACTTTGTTTTTTGTTTTTTTGATCACCCTATTATCATTGGGAAAAAAAGCTGTATAGGTATGAGATTAATATCAAATCGAGCATCTAACGGCTACACATTTAAATATTTAATTATATTATATTATTTAATCAATATGTAAATTAAGTGATCAGTATAAAAGATTTCAATTAAATTCCTAATTCGATATGAGCTTAATGAGTGAATACCTAATATTGGCCCAATTAAGTGTAATGGGCGCTTAATGAAATAATATATATATATATATATAAACTAAATAAAGGGTTATGGTCTCAAATAGGTCAAATCAATTTCAGTTTCTTTTTTCCCCATTAAGAGAAAATACCTTCTGGGGAGTGATTTGATTGAGAAAGACCAAAACCGAGAGGAAAGGTCAGAGACTCAAGAGGATTAAAGATACATCGTTACTACAATGAAGATAGATACTCCTTATTTGTTTTATATTTCTTGATGATCCAATATGATGTATTTGAAGTTTATTGGGCGATAGTTTTCGTCATATGGATTAAGTAATTAATTTCCATCGTGTAATAATTATGCAATTTAATCTTAAAGTTTTATCTCCAAGATTCAAATACACTTATAACCGTTCCTCCGTCTTAAACTTATATTGCCATTTGATTGAATCTCCAATTTTAAGTTTGAATCTTTGAGAGATACTGTTCCGGCTGGCCCAACCCACCAACCCGGCAAGGCAGGCCCAAGCCACCTTAGCCCTAATTGACCAGCTGATGCCTCTGCCACCATCTGATTAGCAGATCAACTCCCCAACATTAAACATCAAAATGGCTTAAGACTCCCCACATCCTTTTTTGCCTGCACAGGTAACCATTATAAAACACTAAAATGCTCCCCTCACTTTCCCCTATGTCATTGTCAACAGGACAGTAGCTGCAAGGCGCCATGCTCCAGCTAGGCCAAGCTACTTTGATTTTCCCTCATACCAATTGACTTGGCACATTCTTCCGGCAGATTGAAGCCTATAAATATCTCATTTCCTCACCATACGAAGGGATCAAAAACTTATGAGCCGTTATCATGCCAATTCGAAGATCCCTCCTTGCCATTAACCATACCCCTATTCTACATATTTCATCACTGGAAACACCTTTCACTGTCTTAGTCTTCACCATAGTTGTGCTAGGTATCCCTACATTAACCATTATACCCTGGAGTAACATGTTGGGCTCAACCCATTAAACGATTCAGATACCTTTGCTCATTTCAAATTATGCACATGTCTTATTGTGTGTTATACTAGATTTTGTTTTTCCTAAGGGTGTGTTTGGTATAGGTTTTCATTTGAGTTTGATAGGAAAATGTGGGTGGGTATTGAAAAAAACCATGTTTGGTTCAAGTTTTGAAAAAAAAACTAGCTAAATAGGAAGCCTAGGCAATTAGATTTGTGTTATTTTTTTGCTTAAACTAACTATTCACAAATACCACTTTGGGTGTGGTATTTTAGGATAGGTGGGGAAGTGATATTTAAGGAAACCAAGTTATTGATGTTGGACTCTCATTTTTAGGTAGTGGTTTGTTTAAAAAATATTGATAATGGGGGTGTTTTGGTCAATTCAACCAATTTCCCATTATTATTTTATATTCAACCAAACATAAACTTTGCAAATTTACAAAAACTTCTTTGGTAATATTTCGGTGAACCGAACATCTTTTTTTAAACTTTTCCATCAAACTCACTTTTCTACTATTTTCCCAATAAAAAAAAAATCTTCTCTATTAAACTCCCCCTAAAGGAAAAGTTGATGCAGAGATGAGCGACTAAGCAGTGAATCGAACTTGAACACATCAAATGTTATAATCTATGCTATGAAATCGAACTAAAAAAAGCCAAGTTTTTCACACAATAAAGATTTTGGATAGTAAAATACTCATGACTAATTATTCTATTTAACTAATTTATTGAATTTTGAATAAAGTCACATTTTTGGTCCATTAAAAATATATGCAACATCAAACATTGGTTGATTATTAATCAGCAAGATGAAATTGATCCTTCAATGTGACTATTTTGGTCTAATTAAAAAAGAATTCGATGAAAAAAATATTATATCAAAAGATTAATTTGATGTCATACATATTTTGAGAGGATTAAAATAGATATTTA